AATTTGAACAAAATTTGAAGGTGATTTCTCTTTTGGTATGTCGTAATTCAAACAAATTATGCATATTTTATTTTTATAAAAAAAAAAAATTCCTTTTAAGTATATGAATTTTTATTTACACATGCATACACAAAAAAAACAAGTTGGATCTCCGGCAGACTACTGGTTAATTCCTATGTAATTTGATCTGCTGAACCCAAATCTAAGGACGGAATTTGAAAGTTAGCATGCTTGTTTTTTGAGGTTATGATGAAAATGGAAGCTAACTTTCAAATTCCGACCTCAGATTTTGATTCAGCGACTCAAATTACACAGGAATTGACTAGTCAAATCCGTCGGGAATCCAACTTTTTTTTTGTGTGGCTGTGGTGTTGTGTAACAAAATTTTATTAATTTTTGTTTATTTTATTGAGCCAAAAATATGATAATTTTTGTTATCCTTCATTATCGTGTAGGTAAACTAAAATACAATTTTATGATGTATTTGTCGATGTCTACTATAAAAAATATAATCAAAATTACATTTAATTGTTTTTAAAATACTTTTTAGAAACACGATTGGGATTGAACAAATACAAATCTATTTTAAATTAAAACCATTATTATTAAGCTTCCATAAATAATTATGTGCAATGAACCAAAAACATTAATTTCCGTTCAATTTTTCTTCTTAGCATACCGATTTGTATCTCAACTTCCGTTTTGGTCTTGTTATACGCTAAAAATATTGGTGAATGATTACCTATAAATAGTTTAAATTCTAGGAACTGTAAAAATTTGTACTTTTATTGATGGGGGCTTTCAGTGAAATTAGCTCGTTTTGCCGTTCTTGGCGTAACATTATATTATTTTGTATAAAAATAAAAAATATGACATTAAGATAACGAATATTGTTATGTAAAAATTGAAGCTTAATAGTATTTTTGAGGAAAACTCGTCCAATCTCTGAAATTTCGTTATTTTCTTTTATTTTTTTATACTTATGAAATGTTAAAAAACTTTAGTATTTTTAAAATCATATTTTAACACCTTTGTCTATCGACTTTTTTGATTTTTAATCTCGTGCCCTCAACTTGCATATTGAATCAATCGTTAATACAACAATTTAACGAGCACGGGTTTTAATTAATAGTATTACAAAGGTAAAGAACAATAATGTATGTGGTATGTGCGTGTGTGTCTATGAGTATGTGTTTCATTAATTATTCTGATAATCGGTGTTCTACATAATTTACGATTGCGCATGCTTTGAATTATAATAATTAACTTATCGGTTGATTTTAGAAGTGCGAGCTTGTCTACCGTCTGAAGAATAGGATAACAATAATGTAAACACGGCATAAGTACCAAATAAAAAACTATCGGTAATAAGTAATAACAAGGTACTAAATTGATTTCATCGAGGACATTACAACATTTAATAATATTATTGTAATATTTAAACTTATCTATAATGTTACGCTATGAACAACGCTTTTTGGAAAAACTATGTGAACTTTGAGATGTGTTTTAGGTTCTAATAAAACAAATAATTTTTACTTGTCATTTTCATTTGAAAACAACAAGTGTGTTATTTTTTAGTTTTGACTCATCGCGCTTGGAGGTTTTCTTTTTTTTTTACGGGCAACACATAATTTCAATATTGTAATGTACACATATTTGTACGCGCTCCTGAACAGAATATTGTGTCGTAAATCATATTGTGAAGTCTGGTAATCGATTGAGCTCCAATAAAAATATCCCATTCATAAAATCGTCCAAGGAAATACCGTGAAGTATTCCATTAACACATCATTGGTTGCTGCGTATAGCCATACGAACTAAAAGTCACACTAACAACGATAATAGATCAGTTGGTAGATGATATCTAGCTTTTATGTTCAATTGGTACTATTAATAGTTTTTGGCTGATGTATAATTTACGAGTTTCATTAAACGCGACAAATATTATGTATTTATTTTATATTTTCGTCATTCGAGGATGACGCTTTTTAGTTGCCTATAAAAAATGCATCTACGCAATTTCATCGCGAACCGACTTGCACAACGTGTGTAATTTTTAATCAAATAACAACTATGACCGATATATATATTAATATTATTACTGTCGTTTCCTCCCGCGTAAAAAGTGCCTTATTGCTATTTTTGTACCCGACAACTGTATTCTTTCCCTGTCCCGTTATAGCTGTTGTCAACGCCCCTTAAAAGCTAATTGCACTCTTATCTATCAGACGATCGAGCTATTCCTAATCAACTTACCAAAGGTTTTTATTATAGATTATATAATCGATGAAGTATTATTAACCTTGCCACTTATCAGCATATCCCCGAGTTTACCCTGTCTGTAAACAAAATGTTATAATATATTACAATAGGGTTTCGCTTACAATATTATGATTGAAAAATAAAATAATTATCGAGTCTAGTTTTTCGAATTACGGAAATCGAACGACGAAGCGGTAACTATTATTTTTTTACTTTATTTTTAAACGCCGTCATTATAGCATTTTGATGGTTACTACCTGCGATTCTATTGTTTATTACTAGGCACTACCACTTTATTACTATATATATATATATATAATGTTTTTATAAAATACGATTCTTTGGAGCGTAAACGTAATGCATTTTGTATTTATTGCCGCCGTACTGTTTTGTTTTTTCAATTGTCGCATAAATGGTTGTGACTTGGTATATTTTTAACAACAGTCGATAAAAAGCGCGCTATACTTTAATAACATAACATTATTTAAGAGGCGCATAGACCCAGAAAAGCTTAACCCACAAATCCATTACTTCACGAAAAAAGAAAAATAGTTCTGATATTTAGTGAATAATTTTGTTTTTTAGAGTAAGGTTAGTTCGGTTTTGAGATATTATATTACTCTAAAATGTGTAATGTCATAAAATTAAAATTAATTTTTTGTGGGTTAAGCTTTACTTATATATAATTTTTCATAATAATGTATCAAATTAAATGTTCTATGCATAAAACAATTAATCGAGGGATAACAATACCTCGCCGGGAGTCTTAAACGGAACGCAGTTTTGTTTTTATTTGCGTATATGAAGCATTGGCAGCCATTATTGAATTGAAATTAAGGGGAGGAAGACGTGATGCTAGTAAACAAATTTTGAACCCGAACTCATTACGGTGATTAGGAGATCGTAGTCGAAAATTGTTGTAATAGTTAATAAGGCCGTGGATGTAATTATTATTATGAAAAATATTATTATGAATGTCAATCGTGGCGCTGGCGGAGAAGAGGTATACGCGCAGTATTTGGTAAAAGAAGGCAGGGGAGCCATAGAAATAATATGACGCAGTTAGTGTACGGTATTGTGCGGCATGGAGCCCTCGCCACTGAACATGAAATAACCTTGGCCGGCGCGAGCCCGTAGCGATTTTGTCGTTGTACAGCTTCCAATGCGGCGGCGGCGGCGGCAATAGCTGCGGTTGCCGTTGAACTATACATATACACACATACACACACACTACAAGATACGTTTTGCCGCGCAGTGTGACCAATCGTCCGCATACCACGGCGGTGGCGACGGCCGTGTTGTTTCGTTTACACTCGAATCATTGGCAACGCACGAAAACATCTCACCTCCCCCGTGGCCCCTCTAAAGAATATGCGGCTAGGGCCGACGGCGGCAGCTGCTGTCCGGACCGCGTACCGTCTTTGCGTGTTGTTTATTTTTGTAAACGTCCCCCCGCCCTTCCTACACGTATACGTACCAAACAACGCGTTGACCGCTCCCCCCCTCCCCCCATTCGTCCATTACCGGTTAGGTTCTTCGGGCGGCGCGAGATAGTACACATATTTTTAAATAACCTCCATCCAGGCCCCAGCGTCTTAAGGGATGGTTTTGCTCGTTCGTTTGAATACAGCCATACAACAGTATAACACGGCCAAACGTTAATATTATAATAATATTATTAGTAGATTCCGTCCGCCGTCGACTTTCGCTGCCTCACGTCGACAAACACCCCACCGCTGTCTCACCGGCGGTCAAACGTCAACGACCTCTGTTCGCTGAACGATTTTCCGCGCGTTTTATTTTTAGAGTTCCATTTTGTTTTTTACCCCGTTTTTCCGCTTGTCGGCGATTAGCCTCCCTCCAGGACGGACGAGGGAACGATTTCCACGGGTTATTCAAATGTCTATCGTTGGCGGGCTGGTTGAAAAATACTATAATATAGAACGGCAACGAGAATAAAAAAAATACCACGTCTAACTGTATTGGCGCGCTGAGGTACGGTATCGGCGCTGGAGACGGGCGGCGAACGTTGAACGTTCACGAGTTCTGTTGTTGCGGAGGGGAAAGTCCCGTTGTTCGCCGACCGCGCAGTACGAAATAATAAAATACTAGTCACATAAAAAATGATACACATTATACTATTATAATGTATGTTTTATTAAAGAAATATCGCGGATGCCATAATTATTGTACCCGTTGGCTACAGTGCGACCGTGTGCTTGCGTGCGTAGGACTTCACCGTCGCGGCCGCTTACTCAGTACTCCATAATATAGTTTATACTTTCTAATGCTGCGGCTGCGCCAGAGATCAATAAAAATTCGTAATAATACGAAAACAATAATAATTACAATTGCAAGAGATTGTATATAAACTGTATAAAATATAAATACATATCCGTAGGAATAACAACTTAAAATGATTATTCCGTTATTGTTGTTATTGTTGGAACGATAAAGTGATTTCGTTATTAATATTAACTTAACCGACCGAAAAGCAGCGCTCTAGGTACGTCATCGACATTAGTGTGTGGGGGAAAATACAAATTGTAAAAAAAAAAAAAAAAAACGGCGGCAGCGACTGCGATTGCTGCTGCCTGGTCGCGCCGGTTCGTTGATGGTGTTGTTGCGTTGTGTGCCGCGTTCTACCGGATCAATTTTTATTGTTGCGCCGTAGAGGCGGTGACGGAGGCCAGAGGGAGAGAAGATTGGCCGAACGGAATAGGTGAACCGGATCGGCGGCGATTGGCCGACACTAGTGACTAGAACGATGCCCTCTCGCGCACCGCACGGTCGTGCTACTACTTTTTTCGGCGTCGCTGTCGCTCGCGTACTCCTTCGCCCGTCGTGTAACGTTTCCTCTCGTCCCGTACCAAAAAACGTGAACGCTCTTTACTATTCATTTACAAAGAACAAATAAATAATAATAGTAATAATAATAAATATTACACCCGCGATAGTCATTACTACTACTATTACTATTTACTATTCACTATAATTATTATTAACTCGTTTATTTAATTAAAACAATTTTATTATTGGAACGCATAATATTGTATTTTGTAATTGATAAGGAAAACGTCAACACTTAGCTAATAAAATTTTTTTTCTAGTGAAAATTTTACGTCTAATATTCGTGTCTGTGTTACTAGTGTATAAGTGTGTGGATCGATAATCTATAAAAAATAAACCTACTTTGTTCTCCCTAAAGCCGTGGATTACTTACATCACCCGACTTTCAAGGTAAACCTTATACGCTGTTACATATTATTTACTTTTGATAATATTACACCGGAAAGTTTAATCCTGATCGATTCCTCTAATTGCCTAATCCGCTGTTTTTTTTTTTGGTTTGAAACCTTTAGCGCCAAGATTTTTTAACCATTTTGTTATTCGTCTCGAAAGCTCAAAAAAAAAAGTAGAATTTAGATACAGTAAAACGTTTGTACTTTTGTAGCCTACTGTTAACTCATCTGGTTGTCTTTTGATTCGAAAGTACCTCTACGGTGTTGTGACTCGTAAATCAGTTTGGTTGAAAAACATACCTATCGTCTGGCGAATTTATCGATTTTCGTAAAACGAGTAACGCCAGTGTTAATGTCGCGTACAGTTGAGAATATCCCCGGCTGAAGCGCGTCGTGTTGGCATCACTGTCTGAGCGGTGGTTGATAGCGTCGGCGCCAGCGAGGCCTGCGCGACTTGTCTGTATAGTGTATTAATATGTTATACCTATGAACAACATTATAATATTATGTACTCACGATTGTAAACTGTGTGTAGACTGTAGTTTACAATTTCGATTTTTTCAACTCGGATTTATAAATTATTGATGTTAATTAGTATCTGTTTTTATCGCAATGTTTGTGGTTGCCCTCTCATTGCCGTTATTACAAGATAATCTATTACATCGCGGAGGTGTTTTCATTTCGGTTGCTTGCTAAGTCTGCTTTTGGTGCGTATGCGCATACTTGTATGCAAATGGTTTTCAAAAAATAGCACGAAATGTTTTAGGATGTTTTTACCGATTATAAATTTGCGTTATCTTGATTGTTTAAAATGTTTAATATTAATGCGTATGTTCATTAGAATACCTGGTAATTTTTAAACTAAAATTCGCTTTAAAAAAAAAACACTATTTTTTTTGAATTTGTGTGAGACTAGTATTCATTTTTGTTTGTTTTAAATTGCATCCCATTTCGGGGATATATCATTGTTATGTAAACGAACCTTATTTTATACCTTATGTACAATTGTAATGTTTCTTAATTAAAAACATGATGAGAATATTATTTGTCGATGATTAGTTATCGAATATTTGAACTCTCTCTCTGATAAGTACTTTATTACTTAATGTAAAAAGAAATTAAGTTTTACATGTTATAGCACATTATTTACATGTTACATTTTTACATGTGATATTACTTAAAGTATAACTTTGGTACTGTTTTTTTATCAAAATGTAATAGCCGTTTGTTAAAAATAATATTAATTGTGATTATAATGAAACAATTTAGTTTTGTGCATAATGATGAGAATAATATAAATGATGATTAGTTATCAAAATTTGAACTCTCTCACTGAGTGTATTCTAATTTTTTCTCTTTTAAATCCCATTCCATCAAATAAAATACTAACATTACCATTAATATTTGTTGAAAAATATTTGTATGACCTCAATTTCTACTACAATTATATTTAAAACTTTATATAATTTACATAATTGGTTAGTAAAGAAACGAATACTTCAACCAAGATGACAACGTTGATGCTGAAATACTTGTATGCACAGATTGTATTATTTTTATGGTTAAAGGTTTAAGTATTCATTTCTTTACTATAAATATAACCATAAGTTTCTTAAAGTTTTTTCTAGATTTAATTAATTGTTATGCATAATGATGAGAATAATATAAATGATGATTAGTTATCAAAATTTGAACTCTCTCACTGAGTGTATTCTAGTTTTTTCTCTTTTAAATCCTATTCCTTCAATTTAATAAAATACTACCATTACCATTCTTATTTGTTGAAAAATATTTGTATGACTTCAATGTCTACTACAGTTAGATTTATACATTATATAATTATCAAATATTCAAATACATAAATTATTAGTAAAAAAATGAATACTATAACCAAGATGACAAAATTGTTGCTAATGTACTTATATGCACAGATAGTATTATTTTTATGGTTAAAGGTTTAAGTATTCATTTCTTTACTATAAGTATAGCCATAAGCTGCTTAAAGTTTAGTCTAGATTTAATTAATTCTTAATATGCATAATGATGAGAATAATGTAAACGATGAGCAGTTATCGAAATTTGAACTCTCTCACTGAGTGTAAATAATTTTTTTTAAAAATGACTTCAGAATTTATAACAAAGTTAGGTTAGGTAACTAGTTTTAAATTCTTTAGTTTTTATTTAATGTAGAAAAATAAATTTTCGTTTTAGTTACCTCTGTTATAACCATTCTGTTTCCATTTTATATCTGAAGTATTTTAGTATCCTAAACAAGTAATAATTGTGTTATGTGTCCTCTGGTTGCTGACTAAAACATAAGTAACATAATATTGGTGTACACCAGCTGTTCCCTTTAAGACTATTCTTTCAGTTAATAAATCAAATTTTTATTAAAAATAACGACTATATATTTTATTATTATAGAAATATAAATTTATCTTAGGCTCTGTTATTGTATAGTGAATTGCAAAATACTATGTAAATAGATATTACTACTATTTTAAATTGTGTCCAAAAATTATTTTAGAACGTAAGAGTATTTTTTTATATTATCATCAGGTTTTTAATTGTTTTTTATTTTTGTTTTATATTAGATTCCTGTTTTATGCATCAATTTGCCAAAGAATAAACGGTCTTTAGCCTGATGGTTACAATATGTGCATCTAATACAAATGGTTCAAATACTGTACAAAAAGAGGTTAGTATATTTATATATTTAAATAAATAATACCTAGGTTTAAATATAATTTGTTATAATTAAATGTGTAAATTGTAATTTTTGACTTGTTTGGAATGAATAAGTATGTTCAACATACTTATAAATATACATATTTCAGTGGTGTATCCAAGATTTTATTCTGGATAGATCTAACCTGTGATTTACTAAAATAAAAAAAATGTTACATTTCACTGTAATTAATAAGTAATTTATGTTTTCTGGTATTTTTTTCGGATTATTTGCAGCCTTCTCAGCCCTCCCCTAAATATTCCACTGGTATATTTATAAAATGTATATGTATAATTTTTCATTTTAAAGAATTGTCGGCATGTACATTTGTATGATTACAGACTATTTGTCATTTAATGGCATAAAATAATAGTAATAATAATAATTTATGTATTTCTAAAATTGCCGTTTATTATGGCTTTGCTATTTCCAATAGTTAAATCTACTAATTTTAGTTTTCGACTAGCCTTTGAAAGTACTCTTTCATTAAAAAAGTTATCATCTGTTGTTATTTAAAAATATGAATTAAAAAATGTCTACTACTAAGTTTTTTTGTATTGTAGCCTTAATAATTAATTATAATATATATATATATATATATGTTTATAATAGTCTATATTTTATTTGTAGGAGGAAGTAAAGACGGACAGATCTAAGAGCTTAATGGTACGTTTAATTTGTATGCATTTTGTAATAATTTAAAAATTAAAGTATCATATTTACTTTTCATCATATGTTACTTAAAAAATGTATCTTATTTGATTATAATAATGGGAATATAAAGATCAGGATTTTTGCAAAAACTGTTTTAGCTACTGAAAAATCTTATAAATATTATTACAATATAAAGCTGTGTACTTAATTAAAATTTTTGTTTAAAAAAAAAAAAATGCTTACTTTGACATCAAATTTTCAGATTTTGGGATTTTAATAAATTCAAAAGTCATTTATCTTTTTGTTAATGTATTTTTCAATATTTATACCAAAAACATTTTACTTGGATATATTTATAATATTTTTACGGTTTTTGTATTCATATCACTATTATAACATTTTTTTTACACTACTTAAATAGCCCTTTTTATATCTATTTTATTACATTTCCAATTGTTGTTGATTTTTTTTATAAGAAAACTATTGCTATTTGATAAAATATGATATGATTCTGTTCAGGATGAAATTGTGTGTGCCACAACAGTTACCTTACCACCCAACAAAAGTTGTGGTGATGCCTTGTCTTTAAGCACAGGTAATTGTTAAAATAGTGTCTAACTATGTCTAAATTATGTTTAATTTATATTTATATTATTTATTATAAGGATGGTGTAATGTCATTGATAAGGCTGATTCCTCTGCTATAACAGCAAGAAACAAAATAAACGGGGTGGTAGTTGGAGGAGGAGCTGGCTCCCTCTGCCATTCCCGACAATCATCATCGTTTGTGTTGCATTTGCCCACCATCCCCCTGAATTGGTCTGTGATATCCAGCTCAACATTTAGATTTACTAGAGATCCTCCGTCCCATCAACAAACACAGGTATGTGCCATATTTCATAAATATATTATAATTTGTTTGGATTAAATGATTACTCAATTAAAATTTGCCGTTTATGTAGGATTTGTATGGTACGATGGTAACTGCCAGTAACGTTGACAGTTCTACAAGGGGGGGAACTGGAAGACGATCCCTGCTGGCTTGCTACTCTGGTGCTCACATTAAAGATGTTACTACTACTATTAGTTTTAGGGTTAAGTCTAATTGTTCAACAAGTGATAATGACAGTGATGATCAAAGCGCAATGTACAAAACCATTCCATTTAACAAACTCTATATTGATCCGATTGCACAGTACAAACGAAATTGGGGTATATCTGCCATTTGTCGTTTAATTGGAGGCGGAGAAACAACTCTTGCTTCTGGCAATGGCACAGCTACAGCGGGTTGGGGAAATCCTGGCACAACACCAGTACCCGCGTCTGTTACTGGTACTTCAAACTGGAATACAAGCCCACTTGTTGATGGCCAATCGCCTCCCAATGCTGTTTCAAATGGTCCTTGGCAACAAAGTTCACAGTCCTCTAGTACCAGCTCAAATAATACTAGTCAAACATCTAACATAGGTAAGTTATTAGTTATAGGAATACATATTTTTTAAATTTGGGTTTGAATTATTCAATGTTTGTTTTGTAGGTAATAAAGGACAAAATTCAAGCTCTGCATCATCAAGCGGCAACAGTACTATATCTACATCACAGCCATCAAATAACTCACAGAACACTACGTCGTGGGCTCAGGCAGCTGGTAAAAATTTACCAGCTTCTTCAGGTCCTCAAGTATCGGGAAATTCATCGTCCACCACTACAACAGCTAATACTGTTTCCGGTATAGCAACTAATCCTCAATCGAGCAATTCACCACCTACAAATGGTGGTAACGCAGCTGTAAATCCTTCGACCAAACAACAATTGGAACAAATAAATACAATGCGAGAAGCATTATATGCTCAAGATGGTTGGGGTGGACAACATGTTAACCAAGATAGTCAGTGGGAGGTTCCACACAGTCCAGAACCAAATGTAAAAGATGGACCATTAACTGGTTTGACTGGTGGACCCGGTTGGAGTAAGGTTAATAACGGTACTGACTTATGGGAAGCGACTTTACGAAATGGTGGACAACCCCCGTTACAAGTAATTAAAACAAAATTCTTAATATTTTCAATATCATTGATTTATACAATTACATTTTTTTTTGCTACTTAGATTCCAGTTCAAAATGCATCAAAAACTCCTTGGGGTCATACTCCTGCATCTAACATTGGTGGTACCTGGGGTGAAGACGATGATGTAAGCAGTGTAAGCGGAGTTGAAGGCGGAAATACTGGTAACTGGGGTATTAATCCAACTGGAACAATGGGTAATCAGTGGGGTAATCAAGGTCAACCTCCACCACAAGGGCCAGGAGGTCCAATGTGGGGAGGTCCTCCTAAGAAAGATATTGGACCTGAAGGTCAGTCCTGGAATTCTGGCAATGCTGCATGGAATGATCTCAATCGACCACCAGGAGCCATTGATCAGGGTCCTCATCGTCGAGATATCATACCAAATGGAATTGTTGACCATAGGTATAAACTGAAATTTATTGTTTGCAGTTCATAATTGTGTGTAACTTTTTCCAAATCTTATTTATAGTCGAGGTATTGGAAGTGATGCACGTGGAGGTATAAGTGGTCGTTTAAACGGTACATTATCTGGTGGTGGTGGTGGTGCTATGGAACCCATGTGGGGTGGACCTCCACCTCATCATTTGCACCATGTCCAGCCTCCAGGCCCACCTCCTTCTGTTATAGCAACCCCAGGTGCAAAACTAGGTCAAGGACCAGTGCCAGGTATTTATAAAAATTTTCATAAAAATAGGTCAATAACATTTTCGGGCATCATCGTTTAATAATTGGGAAAAATTAGAGTTCATATAAAAAAAAGCAAGCCACCTTTATGATAGTTATAGCTTTTTACACAATTAATACAAATGATTTGCATTACTTGCTTGGTGTCTTGTTTTAAGGGCTTTGTTAGTTAGGGTTAACACAAATATATAATAATTATCTGCATCAATTGGTGACAACTTTAAATTAATATTTTACTTGTATATATGTAGTCAATGGATGTATTAACATACAAAATATTTCACCATTGGTTTACAAAATATATTATTAGTCATACTATATTTTAAATAGAACTTACTAAAGTAAAACTAAATATAGGTTAATGATATATCTCTAATATATCTTGACGACTTGGTATGACAATGTTAAAATGCATGTCAGGTTGTAAGTATGTTTTGATGTAACATGTTTATGAATGTTTGTGTTGTAAATATGCTATATTAATATGATGATATGAGTTGTTATATATAAGTTAATAATAAATCTTCAAGCCTATTAAGATGGACATGATGGGTTGCATGATTTAGGTTTAACTCTAATGCATAATTTGATTGAGTTTTTTTTTAATTGCCAAGAATTAAAAATAATTTATTTGATGAGCGATTGACGGTGGTGGTAATAAGGTTAATTTCCATTAATTACATAGGATAACAATCAATGTTATTGATTGTTGCTAATTAGTTTACAGTAATCTTATGAACAAAAAGTAAGATTATAATTATTAATATTATTTTTTTGTGTGAAATTTGAATGATAGTAATACTTTTATCTAAAAACTATTACCCCCTCGATGGACAAAGTAGTGGTTATCAAATTTCTGATCTAGAAATAAGTAGTTTTACAATTGAATAATTAATCAATTATTAAATGACATATTAATTGAATAATTATCAGCAATAACATTATTGTATGTTTAATTAAATAACTGTTATAAGTATCACTCCTTATTCAAATATAAATTCATAATATAATTATAATTTTAAAATTATAAATACTATAATATAATGTTTTATATATTGGTGTAGATATTCAGTAATTTTTGGAGTATCTTATAACGATGCGTTATGTAAACTAAATTAATTTATTATTTAATTGATTTAAATCTTTTTTACAGTAAAATTTTTCAATAATTGTAGTACAATTTTATATTTACTTGTTTGTTGATTCAGTTTACTAGGTTGTATGTAAAAATATTCCCATCTCAATCATAAAGTATACCACATTCGTTTTTAATACTTAAAGCCTACTTGGTAGTATTTCTTTTAGAGATATTTTATTTTTAATTATCTCTTTTAAACACTATTAATAGTATTTCTTTATTCTGCTATTTGTTTATAAGATATTTTTTTTTTTAACTCTTATTTGAACTTCTATTATATTTTATTTAGTTTAAAATTGTTTTAAATTTATCTAACTTTATTATTAAATTATTTTACCGATCAATATATTTGTAAAAATTACAATTATATACCTATTAAAGAGATTCTAATTTCGATATGTTTTTTTTAAACAAGAATTGATCAGAATTTTTGTTGTTCAAGAGTAAAAAAGGAGGAGGCAATGAGTTTAAAAAAAAGTATTCAAATATAAATATTTTATGTTGAACTTAATAAAATTAATAATATCATTTTACATCAGGATTAATATTAAATACATTAATTTGTGTACGTTTTAGTATTAAAAATGTTGTTTTTATCTTAAATGGTAAAAAAAAATTGTATTTTTAATAATATGAAATTTTAATAATCTTATCTATGATTTGTATAAAACTTATTACCAAGCTTTTAAATCGTTTTACTCATATTTCATTATTTAATAATACAAATTCAAGCTTCATTTCTGATTTTAATGCTTGGAAATCAACATTCATTATTGGCAATTTAATAATAAAAAAAGCAAATGTGGATGTAAATAATAAAGTTAATTTTTGAATTGAAGCACAAAGTTCTTTATGCTGTTTTCAGTAATAAATCAATGGTCAGGGCCACCACCACCTAAAGATTTAAATCCCATGAATAACAACAACAAAGGCAGTGGATGGGAAGAACCATCACCCACAGACCACAGGCGAAATTTATTAAATTATGATGATGGCACATCATTGTGGGGAAATGCACAATCTAGGCCCAATGTGCCTGGCGGTAAGACCAACTATGCCTAATAGAGATTTGTTGGTAACTTTAAGAGTGTACAATAGTAGTATATTATTATTTTTATCACAATATTTTACGAAACCCTTATATCACACTTAAAGTGAATATTAAACCAGAATTAATAATATTTAAGTAATAAGTTTCATCTTGTTTGTTATCGAGACATTCATAATACTTACTATAATTTATAACATTCACAACATTTGGTTGTTAAAAATACCAAAAAGTAAAGTTTATAGATGATAAAACATTGGAATATTATTAATAATCCTATCCTGCATTATTTAAATTAAATAATCTTGTTTCAATTTTATTTTTGTTCATTTAATTGTGTTTGTTATCTGGAAGTTCTATAACTAAAATTACAAAGTGTTACTATTGCATATTAAAAATATTACTATTGCACCATCTTATCGTTAACTTTTAAAATACAGTGTAAAAAACTAAGACAGTGTCCCTTTTGTTAAAAGGTTAAATGATTTAGTAATAATTAGGTTTGAAGATTTATTTTTTATTCATGATTGACAGGTATTTCAGATATGTACTATAAAAAGTATAAGAACAAATTATGAATAAATTTAATTTAATTAATATTTAATAAAATACAAAATAATTTTAAAGATCGTCTTATGAGTTAAAATTTGAGATCTCTGGTGTTATTTATATTATCTTTATGTTATATGATTTACGTTTCTAAATAATTAAGCTTGCATATTATAATATGCCAATACAAAAGAGTATAATGAAACTGTGTTGAAAATAAATTATGTTTGTTTCATTACTTAGGCGGCTTATTGAACACTCAGCATAACATGAATAAGCATTGGGGTAAAGCAGATATGGCTGCTGCGGTTGCAGTTGCGGCAGCTGGCCGAAATAACGGTGGATCAGGAAATATGGGCAGCCAATGCCCTCCAGGTGTGCCACTTAACAGAGCTGGTATGCCTCCTAATAAAATGGTCGATCAACAGCTATGGCCTGGAAACCCAAGGTAATAATTAGTTAGCATGTTTTGTGTATGTAATGTGTGTCTATATTAATCTTATTTTTTTTTAATAGAAACGGATCATGGGGTGATGTTGGTGGAGGAGGAGGACCTCATGATATAAATGTTGGAGGTCCTTGGGGTGAAGATAAAATGGGTTTAGGTGGTAGTTCAGGAGGTCCTTGGCCTAACCCTGAATGGGGACCTGGTCCAAAGTCCAAAAATTCGTGGGGAGACTGTGCCACTAATGAAATGGACCCATCTTCATGGGGACAAAAGAATGTTGTAAGTGTCATTTGATATTAAATTTTACACAGTGGTGTTAATGGTTATTAATTTTATCAGGGTCAAAAGAATCAAAATAAAGAACAGAAGTTCAGAATCCTTTCTGAATTGGGAATTAAGGTGTGTAGCACCCTTATTGATTAATTTATGAATTTGTAATTAACATACATAAATTATATATACATATGTTACAGAAAGAAGAAGTCGAAGCGGTTTCTCGCTCTTATAACATTGGTATGGAAGAAGCATTGGAATTTTTAATAACTACGAGAGCACCTGGAAGTGGTAATTTAGATTCATGGAATTCTCATGGAGGTGGCGGCGGCCGTGGTCAACATCCTGATGATCAAAATCCATTTGATCGTTCCAATATCAATCAACAACGATACAATTCCCAACAACTGCCTTTTGCTGTGCCATCTGTAAGCAATTGAGTTGTTAACAGGGTTATCTATTTACTAGTAAAATTATTGATTTTTTTTAAATTAGATTGGAAATAATTCTAATCAACAGCAAGCTATGCTACAAAAATTATTAACTCAACAACCACCGGCACAACAAAATTCCATGCAACAGCAATACTCTCAAGTATGTTATTTTGTTATTATTATACTACTTTTAATAGTATTCATTTAAATTTATTTTTATTTTTAGGGTGGTTCACGCCAAATGCCTACTCAACCAACCGCACAACAGTTGCGTATGTTAGTGCAACAAATTCAGATGGCTGTTCAAGCTGGTTACTTAAATCATCAGATATTGAATCAACCTTTGGCGCCACAAACTTTAATTATGCTAAATCAACTACTACAGCAGATCAAAATTTTACAACAGAATGCTCAGATACAAGCAGCTATTGGTAATAATCAAAAGTCAGGTCCTGCAATGATATCAGCAGCGATTGCTATGACAAAAGCTCGTCAGCAAATTGCCAATTTACAGGTAGGTGTATAACACCTTGTTATAATTAAGTAATATTTTAATCACATGAGGGTGAGTGATCAAATTTCAAATCTCTAATAAAAATAAGGGTGTTGTCTTTTTAGTAGGTATTGAGGGAAGTGGGTTTTAATTTTTTAATAACACTTTTATAAAATTTAATTTGAAGTACATTTTTACAAATATAAAATCACTATTAAAAACACTTAATTACAAAGCTAAAAATGTATCACTTAATTATAAATAGAGATGAATCAATTATTTACTAGTTTTACTTTTTTAACTATTCTTACATTTTTTTTTAGAATCAAATTGCCAACAACCAAGCTATGCACATGAAAGCACAAGCACATCAAAACCAGTCTAATTTTACTGGATTGTCTGGTTTAATGAGTGGACAAGGTGGTGATTTCTTCAAAAATGATCCATTGACATTGCCACTTTCTGGATTTTCAGATCTTTCACTTAATAAAGATTCTCAAATTGTAAGCATTTAAAATTATTAACTTCTGTCAGATTACTATAATACTTCATTTCTACAGAGTGGGCAAGGCTTCCAAACTAGTCAGCAGTCGCGTTTGAATCAATGGAAGTTGCCAAATTTAGACAAAGATGATTTAGGAATGGGCAGTGAATTCAGCCGTGCTCCCGGTGCTAATTCTAAATCAACTCCTGGAAACAATTCACCTACATTTAATTCGTTGCTTAACCAAGGAGATGGGTAAGAATTCATTAATTATAAAAATTGTATATAAAAGTGGGGTGAATGTAGGAGGGGGATACATAATATTTTAACATTTGTATATTAGCCATCCATCGTTATATATATTTAGCAAAATCATTTTACATGTTCAATATATCAGTTTTTTTTTATAAGATAATTTTGTTTATAATTTAACCTAGAACCTGGACTAATGTTGGAGCTCGTTCAGATAGTGGATGGCCGGACAATTCTGAGGACAATAAAGAAGGATGGCCTAATAATGGATCAAATCCTCAATCCAATTCTGCTTCGTCTGCTTTCACTGATCTTGTGCCAGAATTCGAGCCGGGAAAACCATGGAAGGTGACTTTCTTTACCAATATTTTCAAACTCATTTTCTTATAATGATAATGTGCGTTGAATGTATTTTTAGGGAAATCAGATGAAAAATATTGAAGATGACCCAAATATTACTCCTGGATCTGTAGTACGCAGTCCACTATCTTTAGCAGCTACAATCAAAGACCCAAACAATTCAGATTTGTTCAATAGCGGTGATAAAACATCACCGACTAATTCTCAGTCTGCTGTTGATATTCCATTGACTCCACTTTCACTTTCATCTTCAACCTGGAGTTTCAATCCTCCTCCTTCCACACAGTCTTCATTTGCCAGGTAACATTAAAAATTATCTTTAGTTTAATATTTTGTAGTTAGATTCTTATTTTGCAATTAATTTTTTAGTCCTTTGGGAAAAGTGAGCGGTTCAAAAAACAATTGGACTGATGGTAACTCTGGAAATGATCTCTGGGGAAGTGTTCTAGGATCTAGTGGTAAGTCTCGTGGTCCACCACCAGGCTTAACCGGTGGCGCAAACAAAACTGGAAATCCTCCCAACAGTGGTTGGCCCAGATGGCCTTCAAACAATACATCATCTTGGCAGTCGTCGTCTAACAATGTAGCAAGCACTTGGCTTCTACTTAAAAATTTAACACCACAGGTAAAAATAGTTCTATATATTTTTAATTAGAAATAATCTACTTACCATTTTGATATAATTTTTAATATTTTCTACAGATTGACGGATCAACATTGAAAACTTTATGTATTCAACATGGACCTTTGTTAAATTTTCATATGTATTTAAGCCACGGTATAGCATTGGCCAAGTATTCATCTAGAGAAGAAGCTAGCAAGGTAAGCGTTATTTTTATTATGCAATGAAAGAATACCACAAAACTTATATTATTAATTTAGTTTGGCCATCAGGGTTATTAGCTTTAAAAATGTGATAGTAGTGCACTTTTGGTATAAATATTTTATACCTGCATCTTTTACTTAAGCTTCATTGATGATCATTTCTTCCTTTTGACTTAATGAATATCAATATTCTTTTTAACAAGAATCTATTATTATCCTTTCTGGAATGTATGTTTTTAGAAAACCCATTTTAGTGTCAACAAATTATTTTAGTATGCATTTACGCATTTCAATCATAAATATTTATACTTTAACAGTGGGGTTATTGGTCGGTATGACCAGTTTAAAATTTTCTTTTGTAGTTCCTCTTTAACTATGTTCTTACATTTAAATATAAATTTATTACATTTTTTATACTTCAGCTATTAGTTTTGATGTTAATGTGTGAAAAAGATATATTAATAGAATAAATATTTCAAGAACATTTATACTTCAGCTATTAGTTTTGATGTTAATGTGTGAAAAAGATATATTAATAGAATAAATATTTCAAGAACAGTTAAGTTCTATATGGCTGTGTTCAAAATTGTATTGGTGTTCATTATGTACAATAAAATATTCAATCTAAGTTACCAAATAATGGATAATCGGGAATAATTAATAAAATATTGCCTTACATGTATATTACGTTTAGATTTATTAGAAATACAAATACAATACGTTTTGGGGGGCTGCTTTTTTTATTAGGCTCAAGGAGCGTTGAACAATTGTGTGCTTGGCAATACGACAATATTCGCAGAATCTCCTACAGATGCAGAAGTACAATTGGTACTGACACATCTAAGTGGTGGCGGTGCTGGTAATGCAGGTGGCAATAATTCTGTACAACAGCAACAGCAGCAACAACAACAACAGCAGCAGCAACAACAACAGCAGCAACAGTCAAACTGGAATAATAGCCGCAATAATAATGGTAGCAATTCTCAAGGACAACAGGGTTCTGATACTTGGACTAATAGTCAGTTATGGGGAGGCAATAATTCTGGACCAACTGGTAATTCCTCATCTCTATGGGGAGCTGGAGCTGATCAAATAGATCCACACCGCACCACCCCATCTTCTCTGAATTCGTTTCTGTCTGGTGGTGACCTTTTAGGTAGTGAAACTATGTAAAACAAATCTGACATAACATTTATGTAACTGTACACGTATACGCATATATACATGTATATTATAACACTGAGTCCAAACTTTAATGACATTTTATAATAAGGTCTTAGAACACCATGAACACTTAATCGACTTATTTATTAAGCTTAAACAAATCGAGCCAAGTTATATTTTAGATATTATATATAATTTTATTCTGCTTGCCATTCGACTCTGGGTAATCGTCTTGGCAGCGCACCTATAACTTTTTTTAAGACTTAAATGTTTTTATTTTATTAATTTATAATGTGAGTTCTTCTTTTATTTTTAATTGTATACTACCAAAGTAAATACGTTATAAATTAATTTTAATATTTAGTAGTTTTGTGACTTAGAATTAAGACGGTTACGGGGTGTTTTTAATTTATGAATGAGATTTTTAGTGATTAATTTTATCATGTTCACCAGCTACAATTATATATAAATTTCTTCCTATGTTTTATTTTTTTTGGTTTTTTTTTTTTTTTATAAAAAAAAAATTTAATTCAAATTTATAATTATAATTTGTTTTAGAAATAGTGTTAATCTTAGAGGTCTAAAATATTATATATATATTTAAAGTAAAAGACGAAAAGGAAAAAAAAAAGCACGAAGATTATTGTCCATGTTGTTATTATTGTTGTGTTTTAAATTAGATAGTTAAGTACAAAAATATTATCTTCCCTATAAAAAAAAAATCTAAAAATTTGTATATGCGCATGTGTTTGTATATGGGCCCTCATGTATTTGAATAGATTGTTATTAGTACAAAAACAGTATTTCGTGTTAAAGACTTAAGCAAGACCAACCATACAATTGTTGCCTAATTTTGTTTTTTTTTTTTGTTAGTTTTTAATTTCTTAGATTATTTAATGTTAGGAAATTTACAATTTTACCTTGTAGCATTTAATCAATTTTCGGGCATATCTTTAATTAAAAACACAATTTTAAAGAATTGAAGTTAGTTAAAAAAAAAAAATAGTTTAATAATTTTAAAATCTTCTAATTAATTTAAAAATCAAACACGGAGTAATAGATTTTTTTTTTGACTGCTTAAACATAAAATTAAGACTGATTACTTTAAAGAGAATTCATATACACACGTACACACACATACGCATACGGAATGTCGAAAAAAACATTTTCAGTGATCATTTGTAATTTTTTGTTTTTATTTTAGCTTTGTGTTAAAATCGGTTAATTCTAAATCCAAATTTTAAAGACTTAACATATAATTTATTGGGAAAAAAAATTGTAAAAAAAAATATATATTTATGTTATACATACAATATTCCAATAAATAATGTTTTTTTTTCATGCACAATAACATGATCTCTACATACAATCAATTTTGTTGCAATATGAAATATGTTAAAAATGTTCACATTAGCAATATTTTAAACAATAATTTTTTTTTTTTTAAATATATTATGTTATGTTGCAGAACAAAAATAAATGTCAATTAGTTCTTAACAAAATTTTTTCCAAAATAATCTAATAAATGAAATCGCCAGTTAAATTTAGTTTAGCCGTAGATCTCAATATCTGTTGGTTTATTATTAAATTTTGTTTAAGTATTATAGAGTATTGTGGGGGTAAATAACGTCGTTTTGGAGAAACAAAATCCCAAAAGTACCATTTTTAAACACATATGTTGATAATTTTAAGATGATTTAAAACCAATACGCTTCATGTGATACATAAAATTGTTAACAAAAATAATGCTTATCCTTGTACTGTGATCTATAAATATGAATTTTTTATTATTATTATTATTATTATTTATATTATTATTCACTACAAATTAATAATTTCCGACTGAAAAATTTCATCACCAGTTTTTTTTTTGTTCTGTACTTCCATATTTTTTCAAATGTGCCATTAAACTACAATTAAATTAAATTTACTTAATTTTAATATCTAATACCTAATAAAAATAAATAAAAGTTGTATCTACAATTTTTTGTTTGATCTCCAATTAAAGTGTTCTTTTCTCTTACACTTCTTTATTTTTATTTTACGGCACTTCAATAATATATAATACTTTATTCATTAAATACACTAAAAAAATAAATAAATAAGTGGACAGTGATACTATCCCAATTGTTTATACATTTAAGATTGATTGTGTTCAGAAGGCAAGTAGATATGTCTTCCATAGGTATAAATTTAATTTTATGGTAAAATATGAGTATCTTAACTTGTTTATTATTATTAGTTATTATTATTATTATTTGAGGTGGTGTGATGCACTTCGCACTATTGTTAAGTCTTAGATAATTTTTAAACACACGAAAAACATCTGTAGAAAAATTGTCTTTTGCCAAGTAAAACCAAAAAGTAATATTAACTAATCATGTTTATTTTAATAATATTATATTATATAAATATTTATATATATATTTTTTTTTGCTAAAATTGAAAATTAAAAAAATGTAAAAAAAAATATTAATGTGTGGTTAATTTTTAGTCAATAGTTTTTTAAGCTACATAACAATATTTTAAGATAATTTGTCACAAATGTTAACTACATAAAATCGTCCTTCTATTTTATAGATTATAATAATTGTAATTACTAATTATATTTAATAATAATTCTTATAAAGTTATTTTACATAATGGAATTATTTTCTAAGATAAGGCTTAGGCTTAATTAAGATTTGGGGTTGTGGGGGGTTTACTTACATATATATATATATTTATATATAATTCTAGTGATAATATTCGCGTTTTCGTTGTAACGCACTGTGATCACGTAATTACCACAAGAAGTATAAAGTAAAATAATCAAATACTATGATAACAATAATAATTATGTTAAAACGAATATTGTAATGTAACACAACCACTGCTCACTTATTTTTTATATAAAAACAAAATCCATTCATAAAATAAAGTTAATTAATAGCTACTATTCTCTTAACATTTTTGCCTCCAACAAAACAACAAGGCAATAACCACATTATTTGAACAATTTCCTCCTTGTGTGTATTACCAAAGGTCATCATCATGTAACAACATCTCGAATGCTCTGACATTGTCTTTCGTTAGCCTTACCATACTAATACTCAATTTCACAAGAAACTGTTCAACTGGTTTAAAAATATTTGGTTTTTACCCCCTGCCCCAACCTTCATCACTGTATATTCGTTTCTCAACTCAAAACATTCGTTTAGTAAATTGTCCGTGAATCTTCGGGTTTTGTATTTCCTACTGAATTAGTCTGACCCGCATCATTCGCATAACACTTAGCCATTCACGAGTGCATTCCTAAACATTATTGTCTTTTTAAAAAAATAATAATAAATCACTCGATTATGTTTTGTCCATTTGTTTTTATTACTCTTTATTAATACAACACATACATATATGATATATGTATATTATTATTAACTATTCTTTAGTTTATTTTGTGAAGTTCCTTGTTTGGGTGATAACCTCAGCAGACTTGTAAAAAAAAAAAAGGCTAAATTCTCATTAATCCCTTTGGTTATATTTATCTCGAATAAAACTATAATCACCCGTTATGCGTAAGTGTGTATGTGTGTGTTAAATTCGTTGTACTCTTAAAACCACCACACTAATAAATGTAATGGGGAAAAATATTTTTCTTAATCAAAAATATACAACTATCTCTTAAATTATATATGAAATATGGGATTTATAATTTTTTGTCATTTCATTAATGTTTAAACTGTTATTTTATTATTTTCTGTATCTTTAATAATACATGTAAGATCCATCATTTTACCTATTTGGTATGTCAAATTCATATCGAAACACACATTTGTGATTTAAGTGCCACGATGTTCAATTAGTAAATATAAAAGAAAAAAAAATGTATGAGAATTTAAAAACGAGTGTAATATTTGTGAAAAAAATTATTTTTAAGTGAAAAGTTATAGTTTTTTTTTTTTTAGTTATTATTTATTTTTATTAATTTTGTTAAAAGCCTTGTAGTCTAGGAGCCTATTGACAGGGGGGTGGGGGATGGTATTACCATGAGACTGATTTCTATGAAGATTTTGCTAGGGGTGTGGTGTTCGTGTTCGAACGACCAATGCGCATTGATTGTGTGTCACTAGGTTCTTTATTAAATTAAGAAAATTAATTAATTTTTTGCATATGAAAATAAATAAATGCATAAGGCAACTGGGGTTATGAATACGCTTGTTAACCAAATGCTGTGGCCACCCTTCCTAGATTGTGTAATAATTAGTGTTTCTGAAGTAATATACTAACATATAAATGATAATCAATATAATTTTTGTTATAAATAATTATATGAGCTAGAGATTAGGACTTTGTTGCGTAATTTTGAGCTTGAATTTTTTTCTCTTTGTTTTTAGATAACCCGGGGGGAGAAGGGTACTTTGCTAATATTTTCTTATAAAATTCAACTAGTTGTACTTGTAACTTTTGTGATTAATATCAACAATAAATAAAATAATTTTTAAAATCTGTTAATGTTTATTATGTCGTATATTTTTTAATCTTGGGGTAGGTCATTTTTTTTTTGTTTTGCACAAATGAAAATTTTAATGCTAGCCAGGTGTGTTCATGTGTACGACAAAAAAAAGGTAATTGTACTTGTTTTGTTGAACAATAATAACAATCTGTTATTTGTATTTCAATTATTTTTATTATGAGAATTGACCACTGCCCCATTTCGCTGGTTACCCAGTATAATATATTTATGACAATGTTCTGCTTACAAATATATATTCGATCACTATAGTGTGTACTTACTCGTGACATTTATTAGAATACTTTAATTGTTGACAAAATGTGTATAAGATGCGTTACCAACACTTAAATGACTACCCTCTAATTCGTTTTTTTATTTCTTAAAATTTTCCATGTTTAAACCAAGTGATTTATTATTTACCAGTACCACCATATGTTACTATACATACACGACGTGTGCTTTGCTGTAATTTGTTTTTTATATATACCCATACAAATAAAAATAATATAATAATATTCTATTTCCTATTAAAAATAGTTAATTGTCTTATTGCTGTACTACTATTACTACTACTATGTATATTATAATATTTAAGTCGAAACTGTGACATGCGTTTTAATCTACGAATCGAGTCTGTGAATGTATGATTAATTATAATTAAATAATATATTATGTTATTCCGAAGATACTAATAACGTTCTCATGAACCAAGAGTCATTACGAGCAAAGAAAAGACTTTAAACAATATTAAGAGTATTTAATAATTATAAAATCTACTATACTATGTATTGAAAAAAAAAAAATGAAAAAAAAATATATTTAATCATATAAAACTGTTAAAAACATACCTAAACTAGTCCAGTTTGTTTGACGCGTTACCAACAGAGACAATCAGTGGAGTTTGACGAAAGGAGAATTTAAAACTAACATTTTAAATACTAGGCGACCACCTACTATACCTATGTTAACGACCAAACATATTTCACTCCTTTAGGTTTTACATATCTGACTAATTATTAAATGATGATTTTATTCAATATGCAGCGTATGTTAGAAAAAAAACATCTGTTGGTAACCATTAAGTATGCTTTGTTTATAATGTGATTTCATCGTCGGTTAGACTGAGATAAAAAAATTAATTGTTTTTATATTGTTGTTGGGTTTTATAAAATTAAAGGAAAAACAATTTTTGTGTGCGCAATGAAACTAATACCATTTTATTGAAATCTCATATCGTTTAAAATACATATATATTTTAACGTAGGTAAAATTCACTACTATCTGGACGTTATTTCATCAATAATAAAATGTATTCATATTTTTAAGTTTTCATCTTAATTTTGCTCAAAAAAAAAAAAAAAACTTTAGTAATCATCTTTGTGCACCATGATTCTCTGATTTTAGTGGTATTTCGAAGAGTCTGTTAATCAAATATTTTTTCTGCGGTTTACCAAAATACATTTTTTAATAATATTATATTGTGTTTATAATAAATAATAATAATAATGAACAGGGTTGACGTTATTATATGTACCGATATAAATTAAAAAATTAGAATTTTTATCCTCCACTTGCTTATTTCATTAGTTGGGTAGACGGTTTCTCTTCGGCGTTGGCTTCTAAAAAAACTCGTGACGAGTGGCTCAAATTGATTAAATAACCATGTAGAGAAATACATAAAAAACACCAAAAAAAAAAAAAAAAAATTGTGATATCGTAAACAACTATTGAATAGTGTGCCTTGTAAGAAAAATTAGTTTCTGGTGAAATAAAGAAGTGTTAAGTAAATACACGGTGTGTGGCCCAGGGTTTTTCGAGAAAAAAGATATGTTGGAATTAGGTGCTAAAACCAATAATATTTTGTTTCTAGGTATGTGACGCTATAATGCATTTTGATTTCATTCTCCTCTAATCATTACCCGTCTTCCGTTTTTTTTAACACTTTTTTGAGCTCTTAAATTCGAATGTGTGCCTTAATAATATAATATGTTAATAATTGTCCGTAGTCGTCCAGAATTTCCCGAATCGATAAATTATTTAATAAATATTAGAAATGTTATTATAGTATATATTTTAGCTACTTGATCTGTGTAAAATATGTTATAACTATTGATAAAGAAATTGACCAAGAAAAAAAAATCGAAGTATTTTTATTTTGGAAATTTGTATTTGCCAACGCCGTTGTAGATTATACTTCTCCCCAGCCTTTTTTAAAGAAAGAAAACAAGAAATGTATTCAAACGATGTTAATACTAATATTGCTTTGTTTTTGTTTTATCTTTTGTTTTTAATTTATATATATATATATTATTTTTTTGTGTGCCGCTAGTTGTATTTAACATAATATTTTAATATAAATAATATCTCTAGTCATACCTAGTGGTTAAAAAAACACGAATTAAAGAGTAATAATGCCTTAATCTGTGTTTTTTTGTATTTTCTAAGTCTTACGATTATAATGTATTATTATTATTCTATGATTTATGCAAAAAATATTATGTATGAGTAATAATAATTGTTTGTATTTTCATTATGTAAAACAGTCACGGGACGTGCGTAGAGTTTAAATACCTAATAAAAACCAACGTGTTAATTATAATTATTGTATATGTTGTAGTAGTGTACCTACGTACTAAATTTGTTTATAAAATGAAGTCGGTTAATTAATAAAATATGGTGATGGAAACTTGGAAAAAGACAAAATTCGTGTCGATAATAATGATAAATATATATACATATATTTTGTTTGTTTGTTTGATTTTTCTTTTCGGTTTTTTGACAACCACAATTACAACTATATATTATGTACTGTAATAATAATTAATCTATTTCATGTTTTATATTTTTAATAATAATAATAATAATATTGTAATATATTTGGGGAAAAAAATCGAGTATTTGAGACTTATTGTTAAAAAGCGAAATCTCATCGTTCACTGCTGATATTTTATCATAAAAAAAATATCGTGCGCTTCATAAATATAAAAATACAATTGTATGGCATTTCGACCAGTTTTTATGTGGTCTTTTAGTGATATTTTGTTTTAATTAGAAAGAGACGTACAAGTGTATTTTAAACTATGATGACGATAATAATAAGAATTTAAAAATAATAATACGTGTTTTACCAAGTAATTAATAAATGATCATTATTCAACTTTTCTTTTTTAACCATCTAATATTTTTTTGTATCTGGCTGTTGAATTCGGATCGAATTTCATTTCACTTAATGTCCTCTAGGTGCAACTGGCCTGTACAACATATTATTATTAAACACATTGTTTACCTTACTACATTTGTGGTTTTAAACTTTTAACTATACAATTATTAAGTAAAATACGTGGTTTTATATCTTAGCCAAGACCAAAATTAGAACGAACATTTATATTAGTTATAAATATATTATTATTATAACTTAAATATTATTAACGTGTAAGGATTATATTTAATAAATAATAATGTAAGTGTATTAATTATTATAATTTTTGAGGAAAATTGATGTTTACTAGCTGTTGTACGTGCAATATAGGTATATTGCTTTCTCTCTTGGTTATAATAAAATGAGATTTATCTTAGCAAATATTATTAACCCATTTTGATTGTTTTGTAATTATTCATATTTCAATAAAGGTTGTAATTAATTTTGTGTGTACTATTTGTTATTTGTTTTTGTCACTGCACTCATTCTTATCCTTGCTTTATGATTACAGTATAGAAATAAAAAATGAAAGAGTAAGTATTTTGAGTATTTGATTTTTACAGTATGACATTCTTTAGAAATTAACTTTGCAGAAGGAGAAAACTATGTATATGATACAAAAACATCTTTACAACTTATTAATATTATATTTAAACCTAAACCTTAAGCGTCCTTTTGTGTGTTGTTCAGCGAGGTGAATTATAGTGGCACTGTGGCCATTTTATGTTTTTGTATTGGGGCTTAAAGATATTTTAACCAAAAAAAATTTAAAAAGTTGACAAGATAGTGAAATTAAAGTTGAATGTAGGTTAAAATTACCCTAAAAATTTTACAAGGGTTATGTGTAAATGTGTTTTTATAGGTATATACAAAAAATATTGTGCATTTGTTTGTATAAAAGACTTCATTAATCATCAGATGGAGAATTATGAATGGCGTCAAAAATATATGTGGGGTCCTCCAAAGCCTCCACAGTTGCTTTCCAAGTTTTTTTTTACGTCTAACCATTAAAGTCATTAAAATGTTTACGTCTAATAACTGTTAAAGACTAGATAACTGCTATTACTTAACATGAATGGTAATTGTAAACTATACAAATTATTGATAAACAATTAAAAAGTAAGTAAAAAGAAAAAATTAAATGAACAGTTTCATCACCATCGAAAAAAAATTAAAAGAAAAATATGTTATGTACAATTTTCCTTGTATTTCAATAACAAAAAATTAAAAACTGAACAAATAATATATCAACTAATATAATTGCCAGTTGTCGGCAAGAATAGCTGATGAGACTCAGATTCGTGTATTTAAGTAAAATACATTATACATTTATAAGTCAAATTTAAAACAATATATTCATAAAAACTATTATCATTTCATAACAACTAATTTTCTTTTTTTAAACATTTTTGTTCCATTAAAACCAGTGAGATTTCTTTTTTTGTGTTGTTTATTATCTTCTAATTCTTCAATTTCACGGTTATTCATCATTCCAACAACAGGTAAATCATCTTCATTTTTCCGCTTTTGTTTTTCAGGACAGTCTTTTGCAAAATGTGTTACATCTCCACATAGTCTAAACAATAAATCGAATATTTAATGGGTTTAAAATTAAGAGGACGTTATGCACACAATTTTCCAGCGTTAAAACATACTTACGCAGAATGCGCTTTACTCGCACCATGATGATTTTAGAACAAAAATACTTATAACTAAAACAATGACAAGATTTTGAAGACAATTTTATATTCTTTTCTTAATCAACCTAGTATTTAACTTACTGAAAATTTTAAATCACATTTTTTATATTTTTTAAAATAACTTTCATTTTTATGTTATTAGTTATTATTTTCAAAATCGGAATAACATTTTTTACGAAATATTATCGTTCAAATTTATAATAGGGGTTTTTACATTAAAACCACTATGGACCGAGTAAAATACATTCTGCATAGCCATATTTAGATGAAAACTATTTTTTAATCGCTGTCAAGGATGCGTGATAGTACGAAATAAAAATGAACTACTTAAAATGAGTTCTCATACTGAACTAATAATTACACCTCAATGTTTAACCTTTAAGTTAAGAATTAGTAAAAAATTGCTTACACTCAACTCCTTAATAAACACGGGTATACTGTCCTCTTAATTGTTTTACTTTATCACACAATATATTGCTTTAAATATTTTAAATTTTGTAGCAATAAAAAATGAATATATCAGATGTTTTATATTCTATTACCTGCAAGCACCTCCATTTGGATATAAGCCCATTGGATTATCTGGGCACTGACGTGACAAATGACCATCTTCATTACATATAAAGCATTTAGCATATTCAAGTTGACTACTATTGCCGGCATTCCGGCATTCTTGTAATTTATGTTCAGTAGAACCGCATCTAAAAATGAAAAAAATTATATTCTAAGTAATTAATTGTATTATAATTAAATAGAAATTCTAGTTGAGTTTTTTAACACGTTTCGCCGTGGATAACACCAATTTTAATGTAAATTGGCGTCGCTCACAGTGAATGTGTTAAAGTATCTATGCCTTGTTTCTTGGGTATGATTTTTGTCTAAAAAACAAATATTGCAATATAGTACAATATTATACAAATAAATAAATTGTACTATACTTTGTTCAAAATTCTAGTAAAGAAATTTAAGGTATCTTTGACTTGTTTCTAGAGTATCTTCGACGATCATATAACAAATAAAGCTATTTGGTTCAAATAATTACTAAATAGAACTTGGATAGCAATCTTGCATTCTATAATTTGTTTTAATTATAAAAATTATTGGTTCTCAATTGAATGTAATATGTGCTAAAACTATATTACTCGTAACTCAAGTAATCTCAAAATTTAATTAACATAATACAGTCTAAGTACAAAGTACTATTCATGACACCGAGGCTAGTCGTTCTCTAATTTTTATTATAAATAATGTATTAAAAAGTTAATGGTAATTACTTGAAACACACTCCTAATGCTGTATTTGATGCTAGTTGTGGACATTGATTGAGCATATGTCCTGGTTGACGACAATGAAAACAAGTTTTTTGCCTTAATCTTGCCAACTTTTTCTCAGCTCGACGACGCAAAGGCATTAAATGCACTTTAAGCTGATGTCTAGGCACACCTTGTTTTATTAGTTTTAGTTTTTCTGCTCGCAATGAAGCTGCATCTTCTTTCAAAACACTAAAACCTTCAAACTTTTCAACGTTAGAAAACGAATTATGTTTACTATTAATGTCTTTAGGCTTTTTAACGTTGGGTTCCTCATCCTTCGCGTCGTCGTCCGATTGTGGACCCTCTTTCATTTTTGACCATGGAGTCGCTTCTTCTGGTAACTTCTGATTGGAAGACTTTGAACCTCGAGCTCTGGCAAACCTAGTCATTTTATGTAGAAAACTATTTCAAAGTTTAAATTAACCAAAGTAAAATTGTTAATTGAGATTTGGGTGGCACCGGGCACGTTGTTTTGCAATTTAGACGACGATATTCTGCTATCAGTTAAATTAAATATTGATAACTTCTGGCCATAAATAAACTATTCCATGAAATTTTTTAGAAGAAAAAATATCTTAATTTGTGACTTTTTTGAAATAACGATAACGGATAAAATGATTTTGTAAATTGATAATATAAATACAATAAAAAAAATCGTATTTTAAAGTTACAAGTTAAAGTACAGATTAAATAGTCAGTGGTTATACAATTCTAATTTAAAGTTCTTTTTGAAAATATTTTTTGTTAATTAACGCGTTTTGTATTATAGTTGATAGAGTTCTGGGTTTCATCAACATATTCATACAAGATTTTGTTTTAATGTTTTTACCTATTTATTTTTTAAATTAATATTTGTTTTTGTATTATTAAAATAAATTTAAAATACGATGGCTTCCAACTCGAATACTTCTCAATTTGGTTTTGTTAAAACCTATGGAAAACCAAGACGAACACAACTGTTAAGCCAGACAGCTTTATGGCATGATGATTTAGCTGATGATTTTGATAAATGTTTAGGCATTCAAGATGCTCAGCAAACTACATTTATATCTCCTGAACCAATGGGTTCAGTCACCATGTACAAACCTAAAAAACACCAAAAAGAAAATCGTGATAAAATGAAAACTATTAATGGCTGGTCAATGCGCTTACAATCTACTTCATTTGTACCGAAAGGCCAATCTACTGCAAAGAAAAAGTAATTTACCAATTTTTTTTTTAACATTGATTTTATAGTATACAGATAAGCCAATCAATTATTTAAAGTGTTAGTAGCTAACGTCCATTCAAGAGGTGTAAATGTAGATATGCAGGACGTAGGTACGTGTCCTTTCTACATTTACACGCTTGAATACATATACGGCTACTGCTATTTTTGAAAAAAGGAAGGCTAACATGTATAGTATGAAACCAATGATGTTACTTTATTTCATTTAATTTTTAACCTATCAATTTTAGGAAAATTCAAAATTCCTTTAAGTTGGGAAGCAGTTATTTTAGAAAAATTAAGTTACCAGGAAGTGCAGAAAAGAAAAAAAGACCTCATACAGATATGAGTTCCCCATATCTAAAATCGGGAGGAATCATGGGTAATTTAAAAGCTATAAAATGATCTGTATAACTATAATTTGATAAGTTTATTGTAAAATTAATTTTATATGTATATTTTTTTAATAGGCACTCCAACATCACATACAAAACTAAAAAAAAAATTGTGTGTATCTAAAACTCAGTGTTCTACGCCATTACAAAATTCTACTAAGTTTTTTGACAAAAACTGTTCAAAAAGCATGTTTTCTAATAAAAAGCCAAAGAAAAAAATACAAAATAATAACTTTGGTGTACCTAATGATGCAACTAGTACTCCAGTTTTGTTGAAAATACAGGAGACAATTAGAAGCAATAATTCCAATGTGTTTCCAGTACATTCAAGTTGCAAAATAATTCCATTGGACGAATCAATTAAAATATCAGGATGTCACAGTTTATTTAAATCAGACAAACCATCTGTAGATTTAAAAACTAATAGCGATTTGAGCTTTGGAACCACCATTAGTGATTCGGTTGATGATTGTGTTTTACCTAAATCAAGCAAACTTTTTGACAAAAAAAAGAAAACAGTTTTGAGTCATTCTACAAAAGGTAAACTCACTTCAGATTGGTATGGTAAAGTTTACAATACCCTGTGTGATGAGGTAATAGACAAAGCAAATGAGTTTAAAGATATACAAAACAGTTCAATTCTTACTGAATTAAGTACTTCTAGTACTGAATCAAATGCCACTGTAATTACTAGTGAACTTATAAGTGGTGCAAAAATTGAAAAAAATTGTATTATAGATGAGAATTTTACATCACCACAATATGAACAGTCAGATAAAAATATTTCTATTGAAGAAGGTCATAGTTTAGTTAAAATAAACCAGGACGACACAGATGAGTGTAAAATTGTTGTCAACGATAATATTTCTAGTCAAAAATTTAATAGTGGCAAATCACAAATGACAATTAAAGACAGTGTTTCGGACGACTCCTCAAAGTCTAATATTGACGTAACTGTTGTTGACAGATTAAATAATATAGCTCAGTTAATGCCTACAGAAAATATTTCAAGCGATTCTTCACTTTCAGAGTATAATATTTCAATAAATAATTCATTAGAAGACGAATGTAAAGAGGTTCAATTGTGTAATAAACAAAGTTTAAATAAATTATGTACAACAATCGAGTTGAGTAGTTCGTACTCCACCTTAAGCTCTTCATTTGATGGTCTAAAGGTGTCGCCAAATACACCTGAAGATAGTTCAGATAGTATTATATGTATGTCATCTAATACAGATTTTAATGTTTCGGTAAATGCTATTAAAAATATTTATGAAAACAACCATAATAGTGAAGGACCGACTACACCAATTGTTACAAATGCATTGTTGAAATGTGGAAAATCTCAAGTTGATGCAGAACAAAATCATTCGCCTAAAAATATTTCCTATGAGAAAAATAACAAATCGATAAGTACTATAAACATTTCAGATTCATATTCACAAAGTTCTTTTAGTTCTGAGCAAAATACAATAATAAGCGGAGTAGGGGTTAGTGAGAGGCGTTTAGAATCCCAAGTTCAATGTTACACGTTACCATTTAGTGAAACTAATAATTCCCCGAAAGTATTGAATGAATTTGCTATGGAAAGTTCAAGTTTAAATACAAATGAAGTTTGTGCTGATGAAGTTGTGCTATCATGTTTTGCACAAGACGAAAAGTCGGAGTCGCCTTTAAATATCAGTGAAAACTTATTTGATTCAAGTTATAATTCTTATAATTTTGAGTTTAACAAAGAAAATCAAGATGTAGAAGATGATCAAAACAAGATTGTAAATGATAATGAATGTAAATTAAATCTTCGACGTTCAAGTCGGCTATTCAATAAATTTACTTATGAAAATGACTTTCAGCGTTGTAGCACGTCTAGCGTTATTCATAGTGAGAAACCACTTATTAATGATAAACTAAATACGTCCAGTAATTTATTTGAAGAGATTTGTGAAAATAACGAATCAAACGTTGGTCACAATTCATTTAGACATAAACGATATGCTGGACGCTACCAGCAGAGTTTTAGTATGCGTCCCATTAAAGAAGACATTTGCGAAGATGACAACAGTGATCAAAACTTTACTCAAAGATGCATAGATAACACACAATCGATTTTTTCACAAAGAAATTTACCAAGTTTTAGATTAGATCCAGGCAAAAAATGGCGCCGTTCAATATTAATCATGCGTGGTTTTATGGACGGTAATTTGGATCAGACAAACAATTTTACTCAGAATGGAAACAAGGGTCGTAATTGGAATACTACTGTTGATGATGTTCTTCGCCGTCAATCTATAGGTAGTATTTAATTTTTTAATTTATTTAGATATTTTATTAATAAGCTTTTTTTCTTCTTTTATAATATAGATTCAAGTATGTACGAAAAATTGAGCCAAAGTATTATGGTGAGAGATTCCACGAGTCGTTTTAGTCAAACTTGTTCTCAGGCCAATTTATCAGGTATATCAGAACTCCATTAATAATCAAGTATTGAAATATTCAATTTTAAGAAATATAATAAATCTTTATAACTATTAATATAGGTATATCAGAAGAATTTGCCAGGAAATATATTTTTGATACATGCGGTCAAAGTCAACCTATACTTTTTGAAGAATGGTTTCACCAAAAGCAAGTTCATTTTTTAATAACTTAATTTTAGTTTTTAAATATATACCTGTGATTTATGTGTTTTTATTTATTGTTAATGTTCAATTCACAGGTCGAGGAGAAAATGGAAAAAACTTGGTGAAGGCGTCTATGGTGAAGTTTTTAGTTATACTCTACTGAAGAAAAATATAGTTGTCAAAATCATTCCGATTGAAGGTGATACCTTGATAAATAGTGAACGGCAAAAAAAACTACATGAAGTTTACAGTGAAGTATTAATAGCCACAGAATTAAACAAACTGTCAGATAAAAATAGTTGGAATCAAACATCTTCATTTTGTAAATTAAAAAATATTTCTTGTGTTCGAGGACTATATCCTGAACCATTAATTTCTCGTTGGACAGAATATGATAGTGCTAAAGGTAAACTACACTTAATTAAATTATCATTTACCATTAAAAAAACTCTAAATAGATTGTATTAAACGATTTGCTTGATTTTGGAATTATATAGGCTCTGATAATGATTGTCCAAGTATACTCCCAGACGATCAGATGTATATGATATTAGAAATGGAAGATGGTGGCAGTGATCTGGAAAGTTATATTTTCAACTCGGCTCATCAGAGCGTTTATGCTTTCCTACAGGTACCTAATTACATATCTCAAAGTACTTAAAACTATTTTTTTTAAATATTATACAGTTGTTTTAATATATTATTTAAACAAGTTTGAAGTGTTGCTTGATTCATTATTTTAAAATTATATTAGCTTTGATGCGATAGTTGAGAAGAAGGTATTGTTTTTTTTATTAATATTCTGCATGTGTGCATTGTTCTTTCTGCATGTGTTGTTTTTTCTTTTAGAAAAGGTTGTTACTTATTATTTGTTATTAATATTGTTACATAGGTACTTTTTGGGTTGGCTGTAGCGGAGGAACAGTACAGATTTGAACACAGAGACTTACACATTGGCAATATTCTTGTAAAAAAAATTGGATCTAATAGAAAAATCTCTTACAAAATAGATGGAGATACGTATACAATATTATCACAGTGTGTTATGGTAAATAATGTTTACTTGTTGTGTTATTAATAATTTTTATATTGTTTTATTCTTATTTGTTCTTTATTAGGTTACAATCATTGATTTTACTCTGAGTAGAATGACATACTGCAATAAGCCCATTTTCAATGATCTTAGTGGAGATCCTGAACTGTTCATTTCAGATGGTGACTATCAGTTTGAAATATATCGTTTAATGAGAAAAGAAACCAAGTAATTACTTTTTTTTATTAAGCTACACTGTAGCTTAAGTAAGCGATTAAATATTGACACTATAAATTCATATTTACAATTAGGAATGTATTTGGCTTTTGAATAATAGTATCACTTATGTTATATTTCACTTATATTAATACGACATAATTATTTTTATTACAGCGAGCAATGGGATTCATTCAAACCGAAAACAAATATATATTGGCTGCATTATGTGTTAGATAAAATGCTTAGTTCAGTCCACTACAAGTATACTACAACCATGAATCACAGTTCGGGTATCAATATTTTGCAGGAACTTAAAGACTCAATTTTATCATTTGACAGTGCTAAAAGTTTTGTATTAAGTGATATTGTGTTGGATTTAATAAGGTAGATTTTTTTTGCATACTCTAAACACATTTAAAATATATTTAAATTAAATGTAACATTTTTTTCTTTGGTATAAGAGTTGATTTGACATTTTACTCCTAATTAAAATAACTGTAAACAATTATATGTATATTATCTATAAATTATTTTTGATATATATGTATTATAAACGATAACTTATTATTATTATTTTTTAATTTACTATTTATAACCATTGTAAATTGTAGATTTTTTTTTTATTTACTCTGAGTACAAAATTAATGTTATTGTTACAAGTCAAATTACTATACTACTTGTTCGTACATTAAAAGTATATTAATTGTTATTTTATTTTGTGCAGTTTTATATTTTTAAACTATTATTATGATAAGTAAAATGTAAATTGAATTTAAAATAATTTGATTTATATAAATTTATGCATTAGACTTACAACAGATAGCACTGATTACTATTTACATAAATTAAATTAAGACTGATATTAGTAAACAAATTGTCAATAATTTACATTCTGTGATTAATAAAAAGTACTTACTCGTGTGTTCATACTTGCATGATTTTCTGTACCTAGGTATTACATTTTTTATACATTCGTAACAGTTCTAATTAAAAATAATTTGTTTATACGTATGACAAGCTAATATTTGTCAACGAAACTTTAATCGGCCTAAACTAATATATTCTACATCTTTTTTTGAGGTTTTTTCAAGCACAGACTGTAGAGGTTATCTCGGCCAACTGACAAAAAAACTGAAATAAATATATTTGGCACATTACACTAATGCGAGGAACTGGCTTGACCGGCAGTGCAATATGTTTAAAGAATTTGTATATAAAATGATGTATAAAAAACGGTATGACTAGCTCATTTGCTACTGAATAATAAGAAATAATAATTTATACCTTGTTAACACATTATTAGTATAAAGTAATTGATGGACCATCTTTGACGTGATTTAAAGACGATTAAAAAGTTAAAATAATTGTTGTTATTGAATTATTGCTTATAATAAGTGTTGTCATGGGAGTTTAATCATTATAGACAGGCAAAACAATTTTTTACAGTGAAATTTTAACATTATTTATTATAATTACAGCATTTTTTTTTTTTTAATCGATTATATTCTGTATATATATTATATATATATATATATGCTACAATATAATAACGCTAAAATATATTCCGACTATTGACAAAATGTTGCAGTTTTCTCGGGCAGTCATTTTACCGAATTTACACTGGACACCGGCTATTGTTGTAACCCTTTGCCGCAATACGACGTCGTGTTGGTGATCAGAATTAGTTTGCCGTTTTCCAACCGAGGCTGACAGTTGGACAACTGTTGATAGGCCAGCTTCATGCGTTCCAGATTGATTTTCGAAGCCACCACGTGGTTGACAATGGGGAGCGGGTAATCGTTTCCGATCACGCAGTTGGCCGCTATTTGTACAGACTGCGGTGCGAGCCACGGCTCGTGTATGTATCTGTTTGGTATATTTTTTAAAACTGGAATGTACCTCCTGAAATCAAATAACGGCCAGAGTATTACAACTTTTCCCGTGAAATAAATCACGGCGTCACCGTGAAAATCGATAATGTTTAACGTTAACGTTGAGTTTACACGGGGGATTCGGTCATCCGCACGCGGAGAAGTGGTGTTATAAAAATTGTCTAGAATTGACCGCACCTTATGTAGTCGCCATTGGGATCTGCTTTGCGGCCGAACCGTACAGGACAGTAACAGTGGATGAACTCCTGGAAGAACGAAGAGCACGAGTACCACATCCAGGAGCCCGCGTTAACCGACCAGTCCGCGTCCAACAACAGCTCTTCGAACACCTAAGACACCTGACCTTGTATTATCCGACAAACATTTGGTTATTATAATGTCACTCCGAATCGATAAAAGGAAAACATATCTTATTTATAAAACAATACATGAACATATTTAGTGGGCCAAGTTAACCGCTCGTCCCCAACAGTGGTGTATTACGGGAGGGGGATAAACATGCTAATTTTTTTAGACACATAGTAAGTAGACAAATTCACAAAGTAAATAACACTGTAGGTATGATAAAATTAAAATTTTTTTTTTTTTTTTTTAAACAACAACCAAATTATTTTCACTGAATCGGAAAACATAATTTTCAACCGTTAGTGTAGGTTACGCGTGTTTTGTACGTTTAAATAATTTTCTAAAATATATTTCAAACAGAGTTTAAAATTCCATTTCCTTTGTTCCGAAATTCATAATGGAAAATCGTTGTTTTTGTATTACAAGTTGCTCACAATTTTGGATGCGATTTAAAAAACAAATCGAGGTGCTCTGAGGCCAGATTCCGATTCAGCAAAAATGAAAAATCTAATTATGATTGCCACCGAAGACAGTCAGTGGAATTCGGGAAACTCTTACTTTCATCCCTTCTTCCCAAGATAACCACATGTCGCCCCGGGTGAGGAAACACGCCACGGCGTGTCTAGCTATACAATGTATCCAGCCTTCTTTTCTGAGTTGGATCATAATGGCGTCGATCCACGGGTAACCGGTTTGGCCCTGAAACCGACCAGCAAAAACATTAAAATTAGGCGTCTCTGTTTTTTTTCGGGGGCGAGGGGGGGGGGGGAGGAGGTTGAGATGTGAAACGTACGTTTGCCCATTTGGATAAGGCCTGGATATTGCTGTTCCACGGGATTTGCACGCAAATGGGGTTGTCGATCATCTTATCGAAATTCGGATTGTTGGTAGACGCGCAGTAGAAGAAATCTCGCCACAACAGTTGACCGTGCAGCGAGAGGGGTGGCCGAGCCTTGCGAATCTGAGAAACACAATGACAAACAAATGTTATAAACGGCGTACGAGTGATCCGGTGGTGCTAGGGACCCGGGGACTTAGGTCGGGACTTGGCACGAGGCGCATTGTGGACAGAGAGCCATCAGTCGTCACCTTTCTGTAGAGATTGTTGAGCTCGGAGAAAAACAACCTGGTCGACAGACAGCCGAATCTCAGGTATGGCGTGAGTCCCGTCCGGCTTGCCAGCAGGGACTGGGGAGTCATATTGGGTTTGCCGTACGACGCTATGTATGCCTTCCTTTCCAGGTGACGTTGCAACCGTATCAGCGCCTCCGTCTCTCCGCCTTTCCAAATGTACCGTGCTTTGGTGTCCGGATCCTCGAAACCTGCAATGAACAGCACGCCAAAAACGAATTACTAATTCACCCAAACAACTCGGGTGTAATTTGCTCCGAAATCGTGTACGTAGACGGTGTCGCTAGTTTTCTGCTAATTGCAGATAAAATAACACCCAGAACGACCAATGCCTCGACACGTTTTGTCGGTTTTAATCAACCCCAACAGTTTACCGAGATACTCCTTTTGCACGAAACACAAATCTATAACGTAGCGCACAAACTCACAGTAAGTATTATGGCACACTACAAAACCGTTTGTATTATACTCTGAACCAGACAACGGCGCTTACGTGACTCGAACACTTATAATCATTGTCTGTACAACTTATGCGTGTGTATGTAAACACATTAACTAGTATAATAGTTAGCGTTCACTGAACAGTGAAGCGACTCGAACGTTTTGTATGGTATACATATACAAACGTTCGGAGAATACACGATTTGCCTAGTGCGTTAGGCCTTTAGTAATTAAGTTTTAGAAGCAATTCTTCTACGAGACTAAACCGAAGAGCACCGGTTTGATAATAATGTACGTAAACGTTAGTAATTGAACAGCGACGGATCTGAAGGGGAGATGGGATGAATGTCATCTTGGTAAATTTAATCCATTTTAACATGTGACGTAGATAGTTATAACTCCGACATCCGTAGGTTAAGCAAAGGACCTATTAGGATGACCTCCAGACCCGTTACCGGGAATAATCATATTAAAATAAGTACCCGCGATTAGTTGCTTATGTACTTTTTTTTTACTTACATACGATCCGTTGGATTTTCTGTCAAACCGTTTTTTTAAAAACCCAAACCATTTATTGATATCTCGCGCAGAACAACACAGTAATAATGAAGTGGAAACTCCAACAGTTTTATTATTTTTTTTAGACCTATAAAACGATCAATTTAAATCATTAATTGTGATTCGGTATAGTGACGATCTGGCTGGCTAGGTCTGAAGTAACGATTGTCAACTGGACCCTCTGTTAATTAGACCCTTAGGAATTAAAATTAAAATTTATTATAAATCTACATATATTTTCTTTTCCATATCAGGACTGCTTATAATAAATATAATAGGCACAGTACATTCATGCCTCGTCGAAAGTGATTAAGTAAAAGCTTAGTTTGTGTTTTTGAAGTATATTTTTTTTGTAAAAACAAATAAATTATAATAACAAATATAAATATATATAACTAGACTCTAGAGGATGTTTTTTTAAAGTGATCCTCTCAATATACAATAGGGTTTAATAAATAATTTGATTTTTTTTTTTATTCATAATGTTATTACACAACGTGGTCTCAATTTTTCACAAACTTTCATGATTTAAAGTTTTAACCCTCTGCCATAGGTAACGTACCTATACCAATATTAACGTTTTAAATTAAGAATAATATATACGTTACCATTTAAGTTTCAAATGTTAATATAAAAATAATTTATTTGGAAGAGGGTTAAAACATAAAAGTCTGCGAAAAAGTGATATCACATTGCATAAAGACAATATGGAAAAAAATTAAATTACTAATTAAACCCTATGAGATATTGAGTGGATCACTTTAAAATAATCACCCTGTGTGGTATAACACTTTTCGTTCATAATAAGGAAGCCATATTAAGTTGAAACATAACTGTAGCATACAATTAACAGATAATAAAATAGGAACCTAATGCATTATTTTGAAAAGGAGGTAGTGAGCATGGCTGGAAAAAATGTTATCTAACCAGGACATGGAAATTCGGAAATGTGATCAACAAAACTCCTAGTAGTACTTTAACCGTAACGCAGATCTTCTAAATAAAAAAAATACAAGTGGCATTGGCAGACACAACAAGAACTGTCAACAGTAAACAGCTACTTAACAGATACCAACATGGTTGAAAGCGTGTAAACTCATTAGGTATTATGAATTTACTTAATTGCTTAAACAAATTGAAAAATTGAGCTGTTCAAAATGTATTCCGCTAAACATTGCATGCGCCTTAGGGTGTTTTTTAGAATTCGTGGAGCTATAGAAATTATTCACCTAATTCTTCGAGTGTTGGCACGCCAAACTTATCGTCGTGATCGAAGTCCACTGGAGTGATGGCATCGGCCAGGAAGTCTTTGTCGACCTTCGGGACGGCTTCGTCCGGTGGGTCTATGTATTCCAATAGTTTCTGGAACAGATGATATGTCAACGGTGCTTTACCGCCGTTCATGTTGATTATTCTGAAACCCAAAACGGACGCTTATGGACGCAAAAATAAAACAAGCAAGTCATTTTTTTTTATAAATATTTGACTCTCTCACTGGTGTTCGGTTCGTATATTATACTATTGTGTCGAAAACCGCACGATATTTACTTGTCTAGCTTATAGAGAGTGTGCGACACTCGTGTGATCACCGATATGTCCATTTCTCGGCACATGGCTGTTATGTTTTCATCCCTTACTCGGCCATAGGGTTCGGGGTCTTCTTCAAATGTAAAATTCGTCGTGCGCCACATCTAAAATCGGATTATTGTACCGGGATTAATTAGTTTTGTTGTTAGTAGCTAACAAACGAAGTGGTATCCTATCGTTTTTAAAAAAAAAAAAACATTGTTGTCCGATGATATTTTTACAATATCGACTGAGGTCTGATATTATACTTCTGGTAACAACCGCGTTGACGCTAGACATTTACACGTTCGATATCGTTAATATAAGATTTACGCGAAGAAAAAGCCTCGGCAGTGTGCGGTAAACAATTTTTAGAAATTTACTTTGAACAGTTTTGGCAGTGCTTCGGCCGGCTGTCCTCTAATCACGAAAAGTCTGGAATTCAATTCCTTCAAGCTGTTGTCCAAATCTTCCAGACACTGCAAAAGGAATCTGCAATGCATAAACAACGTCGATGAGAGGCTGAACCGCACAAGACGTTATATCAGAACAGACAACAAATGCCCAAACCCAAATATGCCTGGTGGGCTATTTTTTTTGCTCGACGACAGAACACACTTGACGTTGACCAACGGACATGAGCTTTATTGCACGAAACAGGCTAACATACCTCCACTTGTTAATTCCCACGTTGGACGCTCCGGCAAACCATGGGTCCAGGATGAAAATACACCGGAACGTCTTGGCTCCAATGAGACCGTCCCTAAGACTCGGGTTATCGTGCAATCTCAATCCTTTGCGGAACCAGTGCACCGTGTGTTTGCTGGGCTGCTCGAAATCCATGACACGTTCTGCTCGGGCATATGTATAATATATTATATATATATATATATATATATACAGACTGATCAATTAAACGTGGTATATTCATTTTCTCGAAAAGTGTAATTACAACGTTGTAAAGTAAAAATGTTTTCAACTTAGAAAAACCAATAAAATTGTTAAAATTACTTTCCGAGAAAACGAATGTGTTGCGTAAAATTGATCAACCTGTGTATCGCTGATCGACTTACGGTATGTCTTTTGGGGATATGCAATTGGCCGCTACGAGACACTTGTATCACATTTTTCCAAAACAGCAATCCACTCGAGTCCGGATACTTGTAAGTCGCTGAACTATCGCTTCGTACCGACGAACGGTTTGTAAGTTTGTAAGTGTCCTTTTTGGCACAACAAATAATTAATATTGCAGGTAGGTAGTGTTATCGTATCGTATCGCGCATATGAGGTCAGTAAAATGTTTATGACACGCTTTGAACAACTAATGCGACTGCTTTAAATATGTACTTCAAAGTTGACTGAATTCTGTAAAACTATTCTCGGCTCGATCGAAAAACAATTTAAGAACAGAATATAATTTTTTATTGAGACCCGCGAGCATCGATTGCATAACTCGTCCTCTTATACTTGTACCGTATGTCGACATGAAAGACACACACAGTACACTCAATACTATCTCACTCAACTGGCCTATCTTTCTGTATCTAAGTATCACAGTTCAAAAGTTACGCAACACTTTATTGAAAAATATTGTTGTTATTGTGCTAACTTAAGTATTGCTTACTACTGTATAAAAACAAAGATAATATAAATATATGATATGTGTATAATTTATAAAATACGTTATAAATAGAAAATTACATGACTAAATAATATTAAAAAAAACCAACGAAAATTGTACCTATTTATGATTGGATTATATAATTCGAGTTACGTCTTTATTTTATTATTGTATGATATTGACAACAAATAAATAAATATATATAGAATTGTAAATTTGAAACTGTTACCTGTTACAAGAGCTCACGCCTTACATAATAGCGCTGCTAGAACATTTGGATCAGAACAATAAACAAGGAATCCGATTTGATACTTTTAAAATGTAAATTGGCAGAAGAAATGTATTGAGTACAAGTTTGGGTAATACGCGGAGCCATACATAAATATGTGAAAAAATAGTTTAGAATTTTCTTAAAAGAAAAGTTTTTCAGGAAAATACTAAAGTTTAGGGTGAAATGTAAGATTTTAGTAGTAACAAATTTATTTTAATTTAATCATTCGATCCGTGTAATAAAAAGTAAAAATCTTTACTTGTAGGTATTTCCGAAAAAATGACAGATTTTACTTTTCGGAATACTAATTGACTTCTTCATTTTGTAATGAATAAACATAAAACTCATATAAGTATAGTCATATGAGTTTGATATTGGAGAGTAACAGATAAGTATTAAAAATAAGGTCTGAAGCGGATTTTTTTTTTAATTAGAACTAAAGATAGCGGCATTCATGAATCATGATTTTATGTATACGAAGATTGATCACTGATGAGTAAAATGATTATAATTATAGATTGAATAGTTCAATAGTTTAGGGTTTAAAGACGAGGTGGGATGAAAAAAAAAATTCTATACAGTACACCAGCATAATACAACAGTGTGTCAAAAGTCCTGTGACACTTCACACTTATAATGCATGTAATTAAATCAAAGGTCATTGTCAAGATATAAGCTAGTAGTAGAAAAATAATGTTTCAAAATTGATTATATGTCAAGACATTTTGGAGACTATGAGTGTGGACTGTGGGTACAGGGTATTGCGGTAAGTGTTTTGTATTAAACACGGTTTTAGTTAAAATTTACAAATAGTGTTTATTAATGTTGATCAAAACATGTTTAAAGCTATACTTTTTGCTTTCCTTACTTTACTGGCAACCTATCCAGTTTTATACAAATACGGGAATTGTTCCCGCCAAAAGCATAGGTCTTAAAGCAGACACTGGATCGACCAACGAGACACCAAGGCTTAGAAGATTTTGTCTCGCACCTTAAATTCACCTTTGCTAATCAACAGCTGGGATTGTCCTTTTCGCGCTTACGTTAATTGCCGTCAAAAACAATTAAACCGATACATTCCGGATTTGCGAGTGCTTCCGTAAACGATGTAACCGGAATTTTATATGACTCATATTGATCTGTCTGACTTACCTGTTTTTGATGTCTTAGGACGATGAAAAACAAAGAACAACGGAAAATCCAAAAAGACGTCCAACGCGCAGCCGATTCGCTGAATCAATCGGGTTTGTCGAAGTCGACGAGGTGACGAAAGCGCGTTTTCGACGACAATATTGGTTTTGGTTTTTCCGGTGAAACACGCGAACTTTTCGCGTCATTCGTCTAGCTGATGCCGTCGTCGATTGTAATTCGCGATGCATTACACGCGTCATTTGAGACGGCCAGCGTTGGGTTTCGGCGGGTCACGTTGCGCGTGGAAGTGGCAAGTCACGTTGCGAGCGGCGTGGCCGGCCGCTTCGTTCGCTTCCCAATACCTACGTCGGTGATCGTCAGAGGCCGCCGTTGCTTTTACACACACACACACACAGTGACGGTGTATTTATAACGTTATTTGTAAGCAGTTATAGGCAATGAGGCTGTGCGGTCCTTTTTTCTTTCTTTTTCAATATCGATTGTTTTTCCTTTATCATTGTTACGTCATACGACAACAATATAGTATTATAAATTCGCACCAGCTCTGATCGTCGTCTATTGGGTTGTTTATAGCTGTCAGGAGAACATTGTCAAGTATATTATATACTTGGCAATGTTCTCCTGACTCTGTCGGCCTTACACAACGGATTCCTCGGAGTTCTTCTTAACATTTTTTTTTTTTTATTATGCAGCTTTTCGTTGTATTTAATAATAATTCTTATGTTTATTTATATTGTTTTTGTATTAAAATTTTTTTTTTTTTGGTGGTTATATATTATTTAAATTTTAAGTTATTGTTAAGCTTCATATTAACTGTAATTCATGACCCCACAGTGTAACCGCTAAGTCACGCCCTATCTGCTGATAATAAAGTGCGCTAAGATTCAATGTGATATTTGTACAAAAAAACGACTTGTACTCAATCACACACAAAATACTTTTGTTTCGACACTTGTGCACAAATCAATGCATAACTTTTTGCCTTCTCCTTAGTTTGACCTGAAGTTTTGACGGTATTATAGCCATTAGTCTATTGAACACATACGCCATACTCAAAAGTTCATACCTGTCAAAATTGATGCCAGAAAATGAAAATTTAACCAAACATAGGGTTTTTTGGTACTTTTCAAACAAGAGAGAACACAAAAAGATGGGATTGTTTTACCGGGCGATGCTCAGAGAAAATGGCGGGGACGGCAGATGACGTTATTTGGTTTAAGGATTGTGATTTGAACTTAAACTGTAAACTGTTTAATCTGTCTATTAACTATTGTACCATGTTACCTAAAATGATGATACACTGAACTCAAATATTAGGTTTCTGGCCCATAGGCGACATCCCCAGGTACATTATAATTAATACAATGTTACCGGGAAAAACTACATTTTCTGACAAGTATGAACTTTGGGCATGGTGTACGTGTTCTGCAGACTCCAAGCTTCAAAACCATCAAAACTTTAGCATAAGCAAAACAGTAGGAAAAAAGTTATGCATTGATATGTGCACAAGTGTCGAAATCCTATATTATGTTAAATCTCATTTAAACTTCAACAATTTCTCATTAAACCCTATGAGATAATGAGTGGTCCATGATAAAACAATCACCCAGTATATATTTATGTATACAATATATAAAATAATCGTGTTATTTATCGTTTATTTAAAAAAAAATAACAGTTTAATTTTTAATAATAAGGTCGTCAAGGCAATTTTTGTCTTGGACCTAGTAAACAACACGATATTCTTCGCATTTTGATCTTGACAGCCCGGATGAACACTCTGAATTATTCTAACCAACCCCTGTTAACATCAAAAAGCTCATTTCGATAATCATATCAAAATTATAGTTACTTATTCTTGTTATTTACACTTTTTTTGCATAATTATTTTCAGTTTTTCTACATTCTATTTATTTGTTTTGTTTAACTTTTAACACGTTTTTTATTTGTGTAAATTGTTATTTTGTTTATTTCTTTGTTTTTTGATATATTTATTATTTTTTTTGACATTTTTCATACGGCGTTTCCCAATCACGGGTAAGTTCTTATATATAAGACGATGTTATAAACTACAGATAAAATACTATTCTCAATTAATACAATTGTGTCTACATACTTTTTTTTCACATCTCGCTACGTTTACTAGGTAATTGTTATGAATTATGATACACATAATATATTATATGATTGGTTGTGTTCGTACGAAGGGTTAGTTTCATAGGATGCACTTATTTAATAAAACTCTAACAGTGGTCATAGAACCTTAAGGGTTTCATTAATATTTATTACTGAAGGAATTTTGAAAAAGAAATGCTGATTAATTGTAACTTACCAAAACCAATTTAATAAACTAAATGACTGATAATTTTAACTTCTAAGAATTGTACATTTTTTTTCCAATATGTTTATATAATGTTCTTAGAGTTGTCTCAAATCAAAGTCACGCGACATGTGTTCGGAGCTTATTTTTTAAACACAGTATTTTAATTATATCATCATAGGACTAAGTTAGAAAATATTGTCACTTTTTAGCTAAAATGGCACCGTTAGAAAGGGACCCTCCGAAATACTTATTTGACCACACAAAAGACATAAATGAAGACTTTTGGACAGACGACGAAGAAGAGCTATTTCCAGAACGATTCACATACAAGTACTAACGCTTGACAAAATAGTAGCTGACTAGGTCGAGTTTAACAACAGCTGGTGTTAATAAAACAATTGTTTTTTATGTATAATTCGTTTTAGCGACATAGACACGGACGAAGATATTGACATAGACACAGACCAAGAGATTGACACAGACATTGACACAGGATATACATAATATTATGTATATCCTGTATTTTTGCTACCTATTCAATTTTTATATTCGTATATACTTTTTATATTTGCTACTGGATCTCACTTTGGTAATTTCTTGCTGTGCTTGTTTGAACTGTGCTTTTTTTTTTTTATATAGTTCTTGAGAAAATACCAATCAGACTAAGTGTCTTCCAACATTATTTTCTATTGCTTTTTTAATTGTGTCTGGACGGTATCTTAATGATGTTTTATTAAGGAAACCCCATTAAAAAGGGGTACACACACTTTGACTATTGTAAATTTCTAAGTTCCTAAGTATTTCTACGTTTGAACGCTCAACACTGTCAAATGTAGTACTATAATGTACTTAAACATGAGACGTTAGCCTTTATTATTTAATTTTAATAAATTATAAAACCACACTGTCTTGTATTCGTTTGGGCCAATGTGTTATATGTAATCAGTTATATTGTGTTGGATGGAAATACAATGTTGACGAATCGACCACAATAATAATATTATACTAATAATATTTAATATTTATTAAAAAATGTATACCATGAAGTTAGCAATAAGATATTTGTCAATTAAAAAGCATGGGCAATAAAAGATAATAGATAAAGTGGGGCGTTTTTGTATGTTGTGTTGCCTATTGTTTATGTATACGGCGCTATTACGTCGTGCACGAATTACACATATAAGATTAGATTAGTTTTTTAATTTTTAATTTTCGTCGTCCCGTCAGTGTGTAAGAAAAACAAACCGTCGCAATCTTTATCATATTATTGACTTAACGAAAAAAAAAGTTTTACCTCAAACAATAATATGAACTGTTGGACATTTCTGTTATGATTGAATCTATTAACGAAATAAAAATTTATTCTGATATTCTCGACATTAAAAAAATGTCGCAATCTTCATTTTTATAGGTAGTTATTGTTAATTCTGTTATTTAGTTTTTTTTAAATGTATAATATAGCTATTTAAATCACGGTCTAATCTGAAAACCCCAATTCAGCTGTGCCAATACTGTCGTTTAACCAGATTCAACTAAAATAAAAAAATCAGCTGATCGAAGCGGTTCATTCAGCCTTTAATAATCTAATTTGGTACGCTTACCCCAAAATTTTGGTAAATACTATATAGAAAGGTTTAAGTTATTAGAAATAATTACAATATTGATCGAACAGGACGCAATTTCTAAGGAGTAAAGTATAGGCAATTTGTTTGCAAAATGTTAACCCAATGGTTAAACTATGATGTGTAATTATTAGTTTGGTAATTAAGACTCTTTTTTTGGTAGTTAAATTATTTTTCGTACAATCGCAGCATTCCTGGACAGAGATTTAAACAACAATTTTGAGAAATCTGTCTAATAAAGATATTTTTCAAAAATTGTCTGACAGGAGAGTTGCTTGTATCATTTGAAAGTAAGAACTCTATCTGGGTCACATCGAAGTGAGTTTTAAAATAAGTTTATTATTAAAACCGAAATGAGTGCTTAATAATATTTTTTTTTACCTTTATTTATATAAAAAAACTAATTGTGTTTTTAAAAAATATCTCGCCGAGGCGACACAGACAAAGTTCTTAATTTTCAAATGACCTAAGTAACTTCCTTATGCAGGGAAGTTTTATCAGTAATTTTTGGAAAAGCTGTGTCAAGAAAGCCAACTTATGTTTGTGTGAAATGCATGTGAGGCGTCCTCTTGAAAATGTATAGTAATCAATACAAACGTGAATTTTAGAAACAATTCCAGAACTTTGGACGATTTAAATGGCCTTTCTTCACGAACTTGGCGTTTAAAGGTAATATTTTGATTAGTTTTTTTTTTTTTTTTAATATTGTACCTATTTTTTAATTTGGGTTTTTCTATGATACTTAACTTTTTATGGACCAAATTCGAAGGTTCTAATATTTTTATACTTTACTTTAACTATACTTGACACTGCGACAACTTTAAAATTTAAACCATATATATGCGACTAAAAAAAAAAATAATATGATTAACAAAATAACGTGAAATTTCAAAGATTTCCACAGATTTGCATTGAAGCGTTTTTCTGACTTTGGGGGGGGGGGGATTTCCAATTTTGTTTTTAAATGTTTAAATTTTTTAAAAATTTTTTAGTTTTTTTGTGTTCACATAACAGATTGTAAGGTTGTAAGACCATTATTGTCTTCAAAATCCACATTTATAATGTTTGAGTCAATTTTCGGGTTATTTCGTTATAGAGTAAATGTTGGCTACAGATTTTTTTTTTATTTATGTATTATAGGTAAGTACCAACAACTAAAATAGTTCAAGCAAAATGTACGGTTCTATGCTATACCAGCTAACCTCGTTGTCGACTGTTTATATTGATGTATAGTAAAAAAATATATATTATACAGAACACCTTAACATTTTATAGTGATTCTAGGTTAAGCTCCGTTCGTATCAGCAGAAAGTCAAAGCGGATTTTTTGGGCAAATTTTAAAATGTTTAGGCATTTATTTAGCTTGAAAGAAAATGCACATAGTTTTATTTATTAATAAATCAATTTAAAAATTATTAAAGTCAAGCGACGTTTATCATAGTATTGGTTTGAATAAAATTATTTTCCTTTTTAACATTTTCATGGGTATATTTTATATTGTTGTATTTTTTACTAGGTACAGTTTTATATATATATACTATAAACAAACAAATATTACAAACTATACTAGATAGTATAACAACTGTAAACACACGTGGCCTTTCGTGTGCGTCAGAATTTTACAGGTAGAATTACACTATAAGAATCATATTTACTTCGTCGAGGTTTATTCCATTTTAAATAATAGCTATTGAAAATCTAAAAGTATTTTGTACTAAGAACAATTTATAGGTAATTTAATGTAGAATGACTTCATTAATTTTGACTACAGTCTTGCTCTTCACAAATGTCTGTTTTATGATATTTACGCTGGGAAAAACAACTGAATTGGATCCATTAAAGGTAATATTTAATTACGGACATTATTTCAGTATACTAACTAGGGAATCAAAAGTTTACCTTAGGCTAAATAATTGATTTGTAGTATTCTAATATTACTCTTCACAACATTGTTTTCTTTACTTATCATATTATGTAGCCTTGCCATTGTAATCACTACCTTTTTGTGCATACTAGTTGCATCTTGAGGCTAGGTAGAATCAAGTTTTATTTACAAATTGCATTCCGATGGCCCCTTAATCGCAACCCAAATCTTATCGTAACTTAAAAAGGATAACACTAATTGCATCCATTTGTTGAGTGCCATGGGGTACAATTATTACAGTACGAGTGGTACCATAAATCTTAAAAAAAACTTTTATAATGTATTAAAATAAAATATCTAATATATTTATTACATTTCAAAAATATTATCATTGTAAAAATTATTTTAACTATAAAATAAAAGTGTTTAAATTTATAGCTCAACATAGTAAAACAAAATAGGGAAATATTGTTAAGAGAGGAGACCATTTGACATTCAAACGATTTAATACCAGGTGATTATGCTAAAGAAAGAAAGTTACTACACTAACAATAAAATTGAGTCTCCAGTTAATTTCCTAATGTAAAAAATTATGAATTTAAATAGCAAATGTTTGTAACTCAGTTTTTAATTTAAGTGCATATTTTTCATATTATAGACTAAGACGGATTGGTTGTCCAGCGAAACCGTTTTCAGCAAAAACTTCCTTGATGTTATTAACGAAATCAAAACGGTTGAAACGGTAGAAACTGCAGATGGCAAAGGACCGGTTGTTTTGAATGACACAGATAAAAGTGTTTTACTAAAAAGATGTAAAGGCGACTTGATTTGCATCCAAACAAAATGGTTATCAATAAAAAAATATAAAACAAAAATGGAAGCATTACAGTGTGTCAACGCCGTGATAATGCATTACATGTTGAACATCATCATATCAAATCACGGAAAAATCAATTCGAGTGCAATCAACGATAACAATATGCACGCTTACACAAGTATCGTCATCCAACGGATGATGTGTTTGTTGTTAATCGCCAAAACCACAGCGCACAATTGTCTGTGGAACATATTTATTCAGAATTATTCCAAGTTTACCTGGCCCAACTTGTACGCGCCAGGCAATAATTCTTTTGACGCGCAATACATTACACAATTGGTGGATTACATTGGCCATTGTCAGCATAACCATTACTTGTCGATCCACGACGACAGACCTTCCAGTCCGCAAGCCTATTACGATAGCATTGTAAAGACGGATATACGCATGTATATAGAACAACTGTACGGGTTTCAATTCAACAAAAAACTAAAAAAACACTACGGTTTCAATAAACTTTTTTCGATCGACACTTTTGTATTGTCCGATTACTTCAACCGCGATACTGACCTGTTTGGTCCGTTTCTCAACAGCAACATATTCTGGGGATCGTCCAAAAAGCTGTTGCGAAACGAAAAAGACAAACTTAGAGCCGTCTACAATACCTTCGAGTTTGTTAAAGAGCCATTCAAGTACACCGAGTATCATAGTCGGGTGTTGCTCGTTATAAAAATAAATATTTACATCTACATTTGGTCGCATATCGCATTGTTTGAAAACCCTTTGAGTCAAGCTAAAAACCACGTTGGGAAGATCAATTTTAAAGTTGCGGACACATCTATTTGGATGCTACCGTGCAGACCATTAAGGCTGTTCTTGTTTTTCGACTATGGCGATCCAGTGTTATTCAGTGTTATCGATCAGCTGTGTTCTGGTGTAAATGAATTTAACGAAAAGTTTCTGGATAAGCTTCGATACATGACAGAAATTGTTAAAGAAATTATTTCAAACGATATGAAGAAAATAGGTGTAGACGATAACGACGTTGACGCCACTTTGCACGTGCACGATGAGCCACAGTCTAAAGAAAACATTTTTCAAGATTTGATACAGATGGGCGCAAATGAAGACCATGTACGTGGCATACTATACGATGATCTTGCCACGCCAAAAGACACACGGTCAGAAATCAAGGAAGATATATCGCTCGTCCCTTCAAACTCTGAGCTGAAAGACAAGGAACTGCTAACTTTGGCCGAAAGAACGAAATTTGAAAAAAAAACGACTTTGATAAGCAATAAAATTGTTGAACGGACAGATACATTCTTTAAATACACTACCGTTATTAAATTAAAATTAAGGCCAATTCATTTTTCCTTTATTATTATGTTTTATAATGGAAAAGAAAAACTAAACGTGACTTTTTTTCCTAACACAGGATTACAGCTTTCGAGTTCAAGGGAATAAACCAAAACTAGCAAGAACCCAATTTTGGATTGTTTAACTTTTATGATTTTTTAAAAAAAATGTGTGTTAACATTTTTCTAAGTTTTTATTATTCGGTACGCTTCTAAAAAAATCTTTTATTCTAACAATATGTCTTGGATCTTAACTAACCTAACCTACCTTAAAGATAGAAAATATTTTTTTAAAAATAATCATATAAAATAACTTACCTAAATGAATTAGTTATTCATTTTTACATAATATACTTTGTAATATTTATAAATGAGTATTTTATAGTTGCGATAAATGGTGTTAAAATAATATAAATTAAAAAAAATGTTAATTCAAATAAAATATCACGGTTATTCTTAATAATTTTATAACACAGTTGGTTTGTTATATTTCAAATTCCAAACCTTTAATCTTGTATAATATATCTAAACCTATATCTATAACTTTATTAGCTTACAATAACAATGTATATACTTGTATTATAACTCGTAATAGTTATTATTTAATAATTAAAAAAAAAAACTGTTAGAAATTTACAATACAGGAAATGGCAAATTATTTACAAACATTACAGTGAGTGCAGGTTAAAAAATAAAATCACATATCAGTGTAAAACTAATAAATACACATTACACGTTACAGAAACAATAGGTAAAAACAATCATAGGAGTCAACATAAATCTGAATAAATATGTTCCACAGACAATTGTGCGCTGTGGTTTTGGCGATTAACAACAAACACATCATCCGTTGGATGACGATACTTGTGTAAGCGTGCATATTGTTATCGTTGATTGCACTCGAATTGATTTTTCCGTGATTTGATATTATGATGTTCAACATGAAATGCATTATCACGGCGTTGACACACTGTAATGCTTCCGTTTTTGTTTTATATTTTTTTATTGATAACCATTTTGTTTGGATGCAAATCAAGTCGCCTTTACATCTTTTTAGTAAAACACTTTTATCTGTGTCATTCAAAACAACCGGTCCTTTGCCATCTGCAGTTTCTACCGTTTCAACCGTTTTGATTTCGTTAATAACACCAAGGAAGTTTTTGCTGAAAACGGTTTCGCTGGACAACCAATCCGTCTTAGTCTATAATATGAAAAATATGCACTTAAATTAAAAACTGAGTTACAAACATTTGCTATTTAAATTCATAATTTTTTACATTAGGAAGTTAACTGGAGACTCAATTTTATTGTTAGTGTAGTAACTTTTTTTCTTTAGCATAATCACCTGGTATTAAATCGTTTGGATGTCAAATGGTCCCCTCCCTTAACAATATTTCCCTATTTTGTTTTACTATGTTGAGCTATAAATTTAAACACTTTTATTTTATAGTTGAAATAATTTTTACAATAATAATATTTTTTAAACGTATTAAATATTACCGTTGTTGTTGTATAATAAATATCGTTGACAACAATATAATTTACTTTTACCCTGATCATCAACGACCTATTGACCGCTGACTTAAACACACCAACGATAGGTGCTATTATACGCTTGTACGTACACTTGATGGGTAGGTACCGAGGTCGTGTAATGTATTTTTCCTTGACCGTAAAACGACAAAAACAAAACAAAAACTCCACACTCGGGAAACGTCAAACGAGTACAACAAATGTCGAATATTAGCATAAATAATTTTTATGTCATGAAGTACGTGTGGAAATTATTATTCGCAAATCGACAAAGTGTACAACATAATATGACTTTATAACATTGCTACTATTGTGGTCGCCTGTAAGAACAGCACAATGCAAACGTTTAGGTGAATTTGTACGTTGGATGGCATCAGAACGGATTTCAGGCGAACTTTAACTAACCTATTGTTGTTGAGTACAATGCGGTCGTTACGCTGTCTTATTCGTAACCTTTTTCTTTGGTAGAAAAAACCATATTTTTTTTTGCGCCAGCGTTTGCACTTGCCTAATTCGCGTGTATCAAGAGTACATGGTAGGTACCTATACTATCTTAGCATACCAATGGCTGCCGCGTTATACCGTATTTGGGCGTATTGTTGGTTTTGTTGCTCGGACTTGCCACGGTCAATTTAACGACAATACCGAAAGAAAAAAAAATGGAAGAGCACAGAGTAGTACTGTGTCCCTTTATGTCCGATATCAATAGTCTACAGTATAATAATATTCTACATTTGTTATTTTGCGAAATCTATCAATACACGACAACTGAGCCTAATTAAAAAAAAAAATCTGTTGAATTTTGACTAATCTCAAGTACAATGTACCTTCACAAGTTTTGACGCGGTTGGGAAAGATAAAAAATGTACCGTGCATATAGAATAGGTGCATATTGTATAGTATTCTCGAGTAAAAAAACCTAAGTAACTATAGTAGACTTCCGCTTCCAAAGTGGGATTGATTAAATTGATATGAGCTGCAAAACAAAATTATGTAGTTAATAGTTAATTTTACTTTTTCATTTGACAAGTCTTTAATGTGCGTTAATATTTTAAATTACCCTCACAAGGACAGCGTGATTCTTATTGATTTGAACGAATAAAAAATGATTGACATTTACATGTTAGGTACTATTTGTAATGTGTTAGAGTGTCTGGTTTGCGCATTACCTTTGAGTAGATAGGCAGGTATTAAAATATAAAAATCAAGTTTGACGTGACCATGACTATACTTTTGTAATATTATAAGAGTCGTGAAGACTCGTGAGGAACTGTATAATGTTTTTGACAGTACAGTAAATATTACCTATGCCAAATTCCAATAGGGAAAAACTCCCTGTACAGTAATTTATTCACTGATGATGACACGCACAATAGTGATTACCTGCAAAAATACAAACATTTATTTTCCAGGATAAACAATAGCAGTCCTGACCAATAGTGCAACTAGAGAGTGGAGGGTAGCCTAGGGAAGTTCAAATTCTTCTAAACTCGCTCGGGCTCTAAAAAAATATCAGCAATCAATCAGGCACGGCCCTCGAGTAAGGTGGTACATATTTTTAATAAAATTCTGAGGGAGCTTTCAGAGATTTTATAAAATACGAACTTCCTTAGCCCCCCCCCCTGCTAGTGGTGCCACTAGTCTTGACTCTAGTGTGTATACTATCATTATTATTATCATCGATAATAATTATTTCAGACTGTAAAAGGCTCACAACGTTTAAAAATTATTATTCGACATTATATATTTGAACGTCATCAAAATTTTGTATTTATTAAATATAATTTATTTTTATCAATACTCAGCTCGTTTGTTGATTAAAGGTGTACGCAGTATTTGGTACAACTCATAACCTTATTTTCTCACAATTGTTAGCAAAGCCAAAAGCGCCGGTTGACCTATACACTAGATGCGTACGACGGATTGTGATTTTCATCATTATTAATATTGCCACCATTAACAGATAAATAATTAACGGTTGGAAAATAACTATATCAGAGTTTACCATATGGCATTGCAGTATGCATTCTCTAGTTACAGTAATTATCACCGTAGCGCGAGCGAACACTGCACCGATATCGCATTAGCCATTAATCATTTATACAGTATAGGTGGTAATCTTGATTGCTTTTTTGTCGATAAAATTAAAAACCATTAAAATATAATATAGGCACTACCTACTCGCCTGCGCTTAATTAACCGAGTATTGAAAAACGTACATACACATCTTATAATATGTGTACTTACCTGTAGGTAATATAAATTTGCCCTTCCTAGACCCTAGTCCGTTCAAACTTTAAGTCAATTCCACTCCGTAACGGTTTATCTACTAATTGATTTCGTATCATTTCAATTCTGATCTGGTCACGGTTAAGTCTCTGCCGTCTGACCAGATCTAATCTCTATTAAACGCTACCTTTTTTAATAATTTATTATTATACAAAGCGCAATAGAGGCAAATTCGACTGTGGTCGAATAAAAAATAAGGAGAGGTAAAGACCAGAACGTCAGTTATATGAAATTAACCCCTATTACTATTAAAATAAAAAATTTTAATTTTAAAAATTTCTTAATTAGTTATTAAAAATTATAATTTCATCAAGTCCTGGAAAATGTTTCTTTGTTTTCTTGACCAACTAATAGAATGTGTGTACATACATAATCTTTCAAATGGGAAATATTGATATACTTACTGTTTGACTAAGTCGCATAAAGATAACATATTTAATATCACCACGAACGTGATTAACACAATCATTTCAAACATGGAGAAACTACTTCATATCAATAAAGAAAATAATAAACAAACATAATTAGGTTTATACTTGTATCTATGAATTTACTCTAAAATAACCAAGTAAGTTGTTTTTGAAAATATATTATATATTATACTAGGGGTGGTTCGAACCTAGTCTAATATATATTTACTCTATAATGGTCGTCCCAGTCTACTTGATTTTTTTCTTAAAATTGAACCATTTTTTATTGGGCTTTTACTCGCTGATTGTTTACTTAAGACAAAAACATGAATTGAACAATATTACTTTATAAAATCAAGTGGTTACGTAAGTCGGATATATATGTATATATATTTTTCATTTATTACCTTCAAGTACGGTATAAATATACTGAAGACATAAGTAGCAAGAATTAATTAAAACGTTAGACCTGTACATCTGTATGTTGCACTTTAATATAAATTCATGAACGGTAAAACGAACCATTATGTTGGTACACCTAACACCTTTGAAGTGGCGTGGGTTGCATGGATTTCCATGCACGGCATTTATACCTAAGCTGTAGGATTAAAATCGATACCGAAACCTAAAGGCAATTCTATACCCGTACATAGATAACGTTGTGTAATTAATATTTCAATTATTATCTCGGTATTACGATTAAAGCCCGCCTCTTTTATTTTATATTATAATGCTAAATTCAGTATAATATAAAATTATTATTGCTCAAAACTAGATCTGCCATAGGTGTAAAATTACAATGTTCATTTGAGTTGAATCTGTTTCAATTTCTGTGCTAATTGAGTTTAAAAGATTTTGTCCTTAGAAATCACTTTATTCTAATTTTTCAAATTTTTTTCAACTAGTTACAGATTTTTACAATGTACTGAAGTTGACTTTTTTTATCGATGTTTTCTCATGCAAACTAGGTACAAAGTTGTTTTTTCATAATTTTTTTGTTTTTTTTAAACAGTACAA